TAAATAGTTCTGCTTGTCGTCGTGATAAGATGCAGGTAAATAGTTCTGTTTGTCGTCGCGATAACGTCAAGTTGATTAGTTCGGCTCCTTGCCTGTCAGGCTGAACACTCTGACTCGCAATTAGACGATTATTACGACATGCTTGTTGCATAGACAGTAGGTCTATTCTTGTTTCACCCACAACGAGGACCCAGAACCCACACGGACAACAGCAAGAACAAAACTCGACTGAATGTATGAGATTAGAAATAGAAAAACGTAAAGTTTATTGTAGAGCAGTGCACATAAAACGCCACTTTCTCTTCATCTCTCTCTCTCTCTCTGCCTCTCTCTCTCTCTCTCTCTGTCTCTCTCTGCCTCTGCCTCTCTGCCTCTCTCTGTGCCTCTCTCTCTGCCTCTGTCTCTGCCTCTCTCTCTCTTTGCCTCTCTATCTGCCTCTCTCTCTGCCTCTATGCCTCTCTCTCTGCCTCTCTCTCTGCCTCTCTCTGCCTCTCTCTATGCCTCTCTCTGCCTCTCTCTGCCTCTCTCTATGCCTCTCTCTGCCTCTCTCTATGCCTCTCTCTCTGCCTGTTTCTATCTGCCTCTCTCCTTGCCTCTCTCTCTATGCCTCTCTCTCTATGCCTCTCTCACTCTGCCTCTCTTTCTCTCTCTCTGCATCTCTGCCTCTCTCTCTGCCTCTCTTTGCCTATCTATCTCTGCCTCTCCCTGCCTCTCTCTCTCTGCCTCACTCTCTGCCTCTCACTCCCTGCCTCTCTCTCCGCCTCTCTCTCTCTGCCTCTCTCTCCCTACCTCTCCCTATGTGCCTCTCTCTCTCTCTGCCTCTCTCTGCCTCTCTTTCTCTCTCTTTCTCTCTCTCTATGACTCTCTCTCTGCCTCTCTCTGTGCCTCTCTCTGTGCCTCTCTGCCTCTCTCTCTCTCTGCCTCTCTCTATGCCTCTCTCTCTGCCTCTCTTTCTCTCTCTCTCTGCCTCTCTCTCTGCCTCTCTCTCTTTCTGCCTCTCTCACTGCCTCTCTCTCTGCCTCTCCCTCTCTCTGCCTCTCTCTTTCTCTCTCTGCCTCTCTCTGTGCCTCTCTCTCTGCCTCTATCTCTCTCTTTCTGCCTCTCTCCCTGCCTCTCTCTCTGCCTCTCCCTCTCTCTGCCTCTCACTTTCTCTCTCTGCCTCTCTCTGTGCCTCTCTCTGTGCCTCTCTCTCTCTGCCTCTCTGCCTCTCTCTCTTTTTGCCTCTCTCCCTGCCTCTCTCCCTGCCTCTCTCTCTGCCTCTCTCACTGCATCTCTCACTGCATCTCTCTCTGCCTCTCTCTCTGCCTCTCTCTCTGCCTCTCTCTCTCTGCCTCTCTCTCCCTGCCTCTCTCTCTGCCTCTCTCACTGCATCTCTCACTGCATCTCTCTCTGCCTCTCTCTCTGCCTCTCTCTCCCTGCCTCTCTCTCTGCCTCTCTCACTGCATCTCTCACTGAATCTCTCTCTGCCTCTCTCTCTGCCCCTCTCTCTGCCTCTCTCCCTGCCTCTCTCTCTGCCTCTCTCTCTCTGCCTCTTTCTCTCTGCCTCTCTCTCTGCCTCTCTCTCTCTGCCTCTCTCTGCCTCTCTCTCTCTCTGCCTCTCTCTCTGCCTCTCTCTCTGCCTCTCTCTCTGTCTCTCTGCCTCTCTATATATATATATCTGCAGGTGTGAATTAATATTAGTATAAACAACAAATCAATCACCAACCACAAAAAGCATTAGATTGTATCATTCATGTACAAGAAATCAAATACTGTCAGAAACATATTGAGGCATCTGTTGTCCTCGGCTAGCAGTATGTCAGTAGTCGAACAATCTAGACAGTAGACAGTGCCAAAGTCAAGGCCATATTATCAGCTATAACTGTCATGTTTATAGAGAAGAAACAGATGTTCTCTCCATGTGGTGTTCTCTCCATGTGGTGTTCTCTCCATGTGGTGTTCTCTCCATGTGGTGTTCTCTCCATGTGGTGTTCTCTCCATGTGGTGTTCTCTCCATGTGGTGTTCTCTCCATGTGGTGTTCTCTCCATGTGGTGTGTGTTCTCTCCATGTGGTGTGTGTTCTCTCCATGTGGTGTTCTCTCCATGTGGTGTGTGTTCTCTCCATGTGGTGTGTGTTCTCTCCATGTGGTGTTCTCTCCAAGTGGTGTTCTCTCCATGTGGTGTGTGTTCTCTCCATGTGGTGTTCTCTCCATGTGGTGTGTGTTCTCTCCATGTGGTGTTCTCTCCATGTGGTGTTCTCTCCATGTGGTGTGTGTTCTCTCCATGTGGTGTGTGTTCTCTCCATGTGGTGTGTGTTCTCTCCATGTGGTGTGTGTTCTCTCCATGTGGTGTGTGTTCTCTCCATGTGGTGTGTGTTCTCTCCATGTGGTGTGTGTTCTCTCCATGTGGTGTTCTCTCCATGTGGTGTGTGTTCTCTCCATGTGGTGTGTGTTCTCTCCATGTGGTGTTCTCTCCATGTGGTGTTCTCTCCATGTGGTGTTCTCTCCATGTGGCGTTCTCTCCATGTGGTGTGTGTTCTCTCCATGTGGTGTGTGTTTTCTCCATGTGGTGTGTGTTCTCTCCATGTGGTGTGTGTTCTCTCCATGTGGTGTTCTCTCCATGTGGTGTGTGTTCTCTCCATGTGATGTTATCTCCATGTGGTGTGTGTTCTCTCCATGTGATGTTCTCTCCATGTGGTGTTTTCTCCATGTGCTGTATGTAGCAGGTTGTATGTAGCAAGCTGTATGTAGCAGGTTGTATGTAGCAGGTTGTATGTAGCAGGTTGTATGTAGCAGGTTGTATGTAGCAGGCTGTATGTAGCAGGCTGTATGTAGCAGGTTATATGTAGCAGATTGTATGTAGCAGGTTGTATGTAGCAGGTTGTATGTAGCAGATTGTATGTAGCAGATTGTATGTAGCAGATTGTATGTAGCAGGCTGTATGTAGCAGGCTGTATGTAGCAGATTGTATGCAGCAGATTGTATGTAGCAGATTGTATGTAGCAGGCTGTATGTAGCAGGCTGTATGTAGTAGGTTGTATGTAGCAGATTGTATGTAGCAGATTGTATGTAGCAGGTTGTATGTAGCAGGCTTATGTAGCAGGCTGTATGTAGCAGGCTGTATGTAGCAGTCTGTATGTAGCAGTCTGTATGTAGCAGGTTGTATGTAGCAGGCTGTATGTAGCAGTCTGTATGTAGCAGGATGTATGTAGCAGGTTGTATGTAGCAGGCTGTATGTAGCAGGCTGTATGTAGCAGGCTGTATGTAGCAGTCTGTATGTAGCAGGCTGTATGTAGCAGTCTGTATGTAGCAGGTTGTATGTAGCAGGTTGTATGTAGCAGGCTGTATGTAGCAGATTGTATGAAGCAGGCTGTATGTAGCAGGTTGTATGTAGCAGGCTGTATGTAGCAGGTTGTATGAAGCAGGCTGTATGTAGCAGGTTGTATGTAGCAGTCTGTATGAAGCAGGCTGTATGTAGCAGGTTGTATGTAGCAGGCTGTATGTAGCAGATTGTATGAAGCAGGCTGTATGTAGCAGGTTGTATGTAGCAGGCTGTATGTAGCAGGTTGTATGTAGCAGGCTGTATGTAGCAGGTTGTATGTAGCAGGCTGTATGTAGCAGGTTGTATGTAGCAGGCTGTATGTAGCAGGTTGTATGTAGCAGGCTGTATGTAGCAGGTTGTATGTAGCAGGTTGTATGTAGCAGGCTGTATGTAGCAGGCTGTATGTAGCAGGCTGTATGTAGCAGGCTGTATGTAGCAGGTTGTATGTAGCAGGTTGTATGTAGCAGATTGTATGTAGCAGGTTGTATGTAGCAGGCTGTATGTAGCAGGCTGTATGTAGCAGGTTGTATGTAGCAGGCTGTATGTAGCAGGTTGTATGTAGCAGGTTGTATGTAGCAGATTGTATGTAGCAGGTTGTATGTAGCAGGTTGTATGTAGCAGATTGTATGTAGCAGGTTGTATGTAGCAGGTTGTATGTAGCAGGCTGTATGTAGCAGGCTGTATGTAGCAGGCTGTATGTAGCAGGCTGTATGTAGCAGGCTGTATGTAGCAGGCTGTATGTAGCAGGCTGTATGTAGCAGGCTGTATGTAGCAGGTTGTATGTAGCAGGTTGTATGTAGCAGGTTGTATGTAGCAGGTTGTATGTAGCAGGCTGTATGTAGCAGATTGTATGAAGCAGGCTGTATGTAGCAGGTTGTATGTAGCAGGCTGTATGTAGCAGGTTGTATGTAGCAGGCTGTATGTAGCAGGCTGTATGTAGCAGGCTGTATGTAGCAGGCTGTATGTAGCAGGCTGTATGTAGCAGGTTGTATGTAGCAGGTTGTATGTAGCAGGCTGTATGTAGCAGGCTGTATGTAGCAGGTTGTATGTAGCAGGCTGTATGTAGCAGGCTGTATGTAGCAGGCTGTATGTAGCAGGCTGTATGTAGCAGGTTGTATGTAGCAGGTTGTATGTAGCAGGCTGTATGTAGCAGGCTGTATGTAGCCGGCTGTATGTAGCAGAGACAAGGGAGTGATGTAGTGAGACAAGGATATGTATGTACATGAGACTGAGATGTGTGAGACAAGGATATGTATGTACATGAGACTGAGATGTGTGAGACAAGGATATGTATGTACATGAGACTGAAATGTGTGAGACAGCAAGGATTTGGATGTACATGAGACTGAGATGTGTGAGACAGCAAGCATATGTAAATCCATGATACCAGTAAGAGGCACTTATAAAAAGTATCTGTAATGGTTTCAAGGTAAGTGTGGGTGCAAAAAAAAAATTATAATAGTAGATGTATAAGGCTGTGAAAACGACTAAGTACAATCAAACAAAACTGCTGCATTCAGGGTTAGGCTGAAATGATGACACTTTTTTAAAATGGAAAAACTGTTTGAAGCCACAAATGTGCACATGCACTGGAAGGATCTAGTTCACATGCCTCCTGCCTCGCAGACAAAGAGAAACCAGAAACGCATTCTCTGAGATGTTTACAATGAAATAATAATTTAGTTCGATAGCTAATTTGGTCAGACCAGCCCAAAACCCTGGCTACCTTCTGTGATTGCCAGGAGCAGCATTCTGTGGAAGATTTCCATGTTGTCACAATCTGGCAGGTACAAGAGGTTAAAGCTGCAAAGAAAACAATGAGAAATTATTTCACCTACTTGAGAGACAACCACACAGACATTAGTATAACAAGTTTTGTGGTCCAGTAGCTTTTGTGCATACTTTACAGAAGGTCATGAGCTTAAATATGATCAGAGTATTGTAATTTTTAGAAGCGGTATAGATATTGTCTGTCTCTAACTAGAAAAGATCATGGCTTCAGTCGCACTAGATTGCTTTTGGACAAATTACAACCGGAAGCTACTGTTTTTGTTGTTCGTCCATTACGAGTGATGAAGACCATTTTTATTCTAAAGTAGTAATGATCAATGATCGTGAGTAACAGCTTGTTGAGGACAATAACTGGGTGATAAATGACGATCAATGATCGTCAGTAACAGCGTGTTGAGGACAATAACTGGGTGATAAATAACGATCAATGATCGTGAGTAACAGATTGTTGAGGACAATAACTGGGTGATAAATAACGATCAATGATCGTCAGTAACAGCTTGTTGAGGACAATAACTGGGTGATAAATAACGATCAATGATCGTCAGTAACAGATTGTTGAGGACAATAACTGGGTGATAAATCGGATGAAAGTGACTTACACAAGGACTTGGATTTAAGTGGGGAAAAGTTGAGCAATTTGTCCACCTCACTCTCTCGCCTGTGTCCATCTTGACCCAATGTCGAGACGACTGGAAATGGACCTAGGTGCAGTGAATGACCAAGGCGACAAGTGCCCTGCCTTGCTCGAAATTCTGTACACAACCTGCTGGCAATGGCCTTCTTGTCCGTTGAACCATAAGAGCTGCTGTTCACAAATTCCTCATCCTCCGTCCTGTTCATCTTTTATTACTCAATTGATTATTCTAGAATATAGTATCATATCGCGAGTCTTCATAGAACTTCCTACAACAAAAAGAAGGTGCCACAAGAAACAGAAGATCCCGCAGCAAACAGAGGGTGCCACAGCAAACAAAAGGTCTGACAACAAACAAAAGGTCTCACAAAAAACAGAAGGTGCCACAACAAACAAAAGGTCTGACAACAAACAAAAGGTCTCACAAAAAACAGAGGGTGCCACAACAAACAAAAGGTCTGACAACAAACAAAAGGTCTCACAACAAACAGAGAGCGCCAAAACAAACAAAAGGTCTCACAACAAACAGAAGATCTGACAATAAACAGAACATTTGGTAACAAAGAGAATGTTATCAACAAACAGAAGATCCCACAACAAACAGAAGATCTCACAACAAACAGAAGATCCCACAACAAACAGAAGATCTCACAACAAACAGAAGATCCCACAACAAACAGAAGATGCCACAACAAACAGAAGATCCCACAACAAACAGAAGATCTCACAACAAACAGAAAATCCCACAACAAACAGAAGGTCTCACAACAAACAAAAGATGCCACAACAAACAGAAGGTTTGACGGCCCAACAGTAAAACAGATCCTAGTCTGTATGGTAGTCCATCAGGAGCTGACAGTTTTTATATACTGACAGTTTTTATATACTGACAGTTTTTATATACTGACAGTTTTTATATACTGACAGTTTTTATATATTGACAGTTTTTATATACTTACAGTTTTTATATACTGACAGTTTTTATATACTGACAGTTTTTATATACTGACAGTTTTTATATACTGACAGTTTTTATATACTGACAGTTTTTATATACCTTGACACTTTAGAATCTCAGTGCTGACAGCAGACCAAACAGGGCAAGCCTAGGACACACACACACCAGGGGCCTAAACCTTGTTTATTAAAATAATGATAAGATAATAATGGAACGAGTGTCAAATACAATAATATATGTGAAATAATATAAAATGAATAAATGAATACTTTACTAGAAAACTTCTATACTTTTCTTGGAAAAGAGGAGGGGATGGGGTGAGTTTGGGATGACTTAGTTCCTGTACAGCTCCTCTTGAGTGCAGAATTGCTGAGTAGAATCTTATTGTCTACCCGAGACCGACATTGACACGCACCCTACCCTGACTCAACCACCCACCCTCGAAGCCACTCTGGAATCTTCAGCCCCTCACAGTCAGGTCAGTGTGAAACAGTACTTACCAGGTGTGGGAGCTGGGAAGACTGTTGCAGGCGGGGCCAGGTGACAGTTGGATTCTGGGAGTGAGCTCAGCAAATCCTCCAGGGGGCAGTTGGGACGATCCTGTGGTGAATTGGACCAACCTTGCCATCTGCAGGTCAGTGAAACTTGCGACAATTGTCCAGAACCAACTCAACACCTGTGGGAGAGATATCACATCAATGCAGGTGTCAACGCCCATAGTTTGTAGCATCTGCTTCCCAGAAACTTATCTGGCACTCATTTTTGTATAAGCTTGGTCGACCCCAAAGCCCTTTTAGTAGGTCCGAAAATCCTGGCATATCTGCCGACTAAACACTGCCACAGCAGGCTCATGTCTTGTGTGGTCCACAGGCAAATTTATTGAGTTGTGACTGTTGTTCGCAGACAAATATCTGGTGTTCCAACCGTGGTCCACAGACTCATTTATTGAGTTGTGACTGTTGTTCGCAGACAAATATCTGGTGTTCCAACTGTGGTCCACAGACAAATTTGTTGAGTTGTGACTGTTGTTCGCAGACAAATATCTGGTGTTCCAACCGTGGTCCACAGACTCATTTATTGAGTTGTAACTGTTGTTCGCAGACAAATATCTGGTGTTCCAACTGTGGTCCACAGACAAATTTGTTGAGTTGTGACTGTTGTTCGCAGACAAATATCTGGTGTTCCAACCGTGGTCCACAGACTCATTTATTGAGTTGTGACTGTTGTTCGCAGACAAATATCTGGTGTTCCAACTGTGGTCCACAGACAAATTTGTTGAGTTGTGACTGTTGTTCGCAGACAAATATCTGGTGTTCCAACTGTGGTCCACAGACACATTTATTGAGTTGTGACTGTTGTTCGCAGACAAATGTCTGGTGTTCCGACTGTGCTTGCAAGTCTGTATTGGTTACCTGTTTAAATACACGGTGACTGCTCAGGTAGAGTGGCTGCTGCAACAAAGGACAGAGCACGTATAGGAATGCCTAATGTACAATGACGTCAGTTGTGATAACATAACACTCACACACACATACACAAACACATGCACACACGCACGCGCGCACACACACACACATACAAACAGGTGGTCGAGTTTCAAACAGTTACCACTGTGGCCAATGTTTACGACCCGCTAGATTTAATGTGTCCGGGATATTGAAAGAAAGTCTCATTTTCCGCTCCTCTACCTCATCTGTGTCTGCACCGCTGCCCTGACCTATATGTAAGCCTAGTGGTAATAGGAGTCCACTAAAACCCTCTATTTAATATCCCATTTTTTACTTCATCTTTGTCTCCACCGCTGCCGAGTCTTTTATTTACTGTTCCCAAGTGCAACCGATGCACCCTCTGTAATATTAACACCAGAATGTACAAATTTAAGATACAAACATGTATTGTCTCAGACACATACAGATATGTGGTTTCAAGGAAGATAAGAGCGAAATATAATTTAAAAAAATCTTTTTAGTGTAAGTAATTGGAAAAAAATATTTAAAGGGATGTAGCTTAAGCAAAAGTTTATTTTGATTGATTGTCACAATAAATATAGAAATGCACATCAGTCGGGGCCGCCAATGTGACTGTTATATTATACAGGGTAGCCATAAATGCAAATGAAAACATAACCCGTGTCTTGGTCACGTTTTAAAAGGATAACCCGTGTCTTGGTCACGTTTTAAAAGGAGTTAACCCTTAATTTATAATAAACACAAGAAATACAGAAAGGGGTTGTGATTTATAGTATAGATACGTTGTAAAACAACAAGGACACTGTAGCCACTACAAACCTTGTTGAACGAAGCTGAGGCGCCGAGAACACAATGGTGAAGCTTGAAGTCCGCAACGCTGTAGGTCCCTGCTCCACACATGAGCAACTGTAGAGCAACATATCAGCAACAGATAGAATAAACATCTCACAACGATTTCTTACTGCAACAGATTTGATCGGAAAAAAGGGGGGGGGGGGGAACATGACAGGCCCAGGGCGGCTGTTATATAAATTTTGAATAGGCTTAAAGCGAACCAGCATCACACACACCACACATAAAAGAAACCAAATAAGATTACCAAGGAACCTTCCTTCATATAGCAGGCCTCCGGGAAGCTGAAAAGGGATCAAATTCGGAATTTTTGTTGGACAACTGGAATTGGAATTGAAGAAGCAAAACAAAAACCTGGCAAACTTGGGGGCAGACAAGTTATGAAAAAGACGGGAGCGGCCCATTCTTAGGCCTCTGTTGTTCGGACGATTACCATGTAGTTCTGAGTTTTCCCGTTACGTTCAGGGGTTTAGCGCAACACGGAATTTTCAACAGATGAATAGAAAAGTCCTACTGTGGTCTTGATAAACTGGATGTTGTGTTAATTTTCTACAAATCGTATCTCGCAGCTGTACGATGAACTGATCTCTCAAGATCGACGTATCCAACGGCGTCATGTTAACTTTCTTCTTTTCGGTGACTATTGCTTCAAACACCGCATGTATACGATGAGAAAAACAACGGATAGTCTCATTCTCATCGTGCTGTAGGTAAAAACCATTCAGCTGCTAGTTCAACGACGCTTCGATGCTCTCAATACACGTGTTGTATGATATCTAGTATATCGTTGGCATTCTCTGTTTGATGTAAACTCTTGTCTGACACTCGCTGTGATGTGGTCGAGCACTACATCAATCTGGTCTGGTCTGCCGGACACGTTCGTTCATATATAAACACGGCTCTCACTTGTCAAATACAATGGTCTGTAACCGTGAGGCATGCTGCCCATTCAAAGTGCGTTATGTTCACCCGCTCTGGCAACATAATGACATGCCTGTACCTGATCTGTCTGGCAAACAGGGCCCTTCTACCGTCGAGGTCAGAGAACTACCTTCATGGTGCACGTTACTGCTCGCAAGTGGGCTCTAGTCAATCTTGCTTAGGAGGTTCAACTGAATCCGTCCCACTGGGTCGGCTAGCTATTTCTAAATCCAAGCTTCACACCTACTCAAGGATAACTACTAGCTACCTTCTCTACCAATAACTGAAACAATACATCAACTCAACAACTGTCAGAGAGACTGAATGGTAACAGTCCTTTTATTTAAGACTTCCTTCAGCGTTCCGCTGTAGTATGTTGAGTGTTCTGGATGTTTGGTCGATAATTTTGACCCTAATGCGCTGTGCCTTGACTCCACAGCACAGGGGTAGGTGCCCACTAGTAGTGTTAGGTGGATCCCTTTGAGGCAAGGGGGCCGGCACTATCTCTGCCGCCTACCCACCCACACACACACACACACACACACACACACACACACACACACACACACACACAAGCACACAAACTATAGTAACAGAACAACAAAGATATAGAGTAACTAATACGAATTTCACCAAAGCCATTTACTTGGACTCACCTTAACCGGTCTGTTTTCTCACAGATCTAACTTCCGTCTTTCTATTGTCTACTCAAGCCTGTTGCTACAGAGAATATGCCCCAACTAACTTCTTCGTGGCCTCAGCTACTCTGCTCCATGGTCCCCCACCTTCTCATGTGCTCAACGACTGTCCGCAGTTATTTTATTCCTGGTTTTCAGTAATGATATCATGTCGATTTTATCAACATTGGCTTGTCTTGTCATGTCATGGTTTATCTGTTTTTGAGAAAGAACTCAAGTCTCTGCGCTCCAGGCAAGCATATAAGGACTCGATCTCTCTCTTAGCAGAAGTAAAATGGAATGGTTACCAATGTGGCTTGCCTGGTCACATTACCCATAACTATCAAGGTGACGGTTAGCGAATGAAACATGAACTCTCACCTCGAGCTCGTGCTCACTGAACATCATGAGCAGGTTCTTGGGAACTTGCCAGCTGAGGCCACGCCTGAAACCTTTGACCTCGTCCTTGACCTGGTTGACAAGTCGGTGCTGAGCCAGGGCATCAAGGTACTGCAGTTTGTTGTCGTTGGTCACCGCTATCTTACGACCATTGGCAACCAGGTCAACTATCTAAAATATTATGATACATGTAGACTATCAGCTCAATCTTGGCCCATAACACACACACAGGAAATAAGCTCAGTCTTGGACCACCATCTCACACACAGGAAATAAGCTCAGTCTTAGACCACCATCTCACACACAGGAAATAAGCTCAGTCTTAGACCACCATCTCACACACAGGAAATAAGCTCAGTCTTAGACCACCATCTCACACAGGAAATAAGCTCAGTCTTAGACCATCATCTCACACACAGGAAATAAGCTCAATCTTAGACCACCATCTCACACACAGGAAATAAGCTCAATCTTGGATCATATCACACACAGGAAATAAGCTCAATCTTGGACCATCATCTCACACAGGAAATAGGCTCAATCTTGGACCATCATCTCACACAGGAAATAAGCTCAATCTTGGACCATCAACACGCACACACAGGAAATAAGCTCAATCTTAGACCATCATCTCACACAGGAAATAAGCTCAATCTTGGCCCATCTCACACAGGAAATAAGCTCAATCTTAGACCACCATCTCACACAGGAAATAAGCTCAATCTTGGACCATCATCTCACACACAGGAAATAAGCTCAGCCTTGGACCGCCATCTCACACAGGAAATAAGCTCAATCTTGGACCATCTCACACACAGGAAATAAGCTCAATCTTGGACCATCTCACACACAGGAAATAAGCTCAATCTTAGACCACCATCTCACACACAGGAAATAAGCTCAATCTTGGACCATCTCACACACAGGAAATAAGCTCAGCCTTGGACCATCATCTCACACACAGGAAATAAGCTCAGCCTTGGACCGCCATCTCACACACAGGAAATAAGCTCAATCTTGGACCACCGTCTCACACAGGAAATAAGCTCAATCTTGGACCATCATCTCACACACAGGATATAAGCTCAGCCTTGGACCATCATCTCACACAGGAAATAAGCTCAATCTTGGACCATCATCTCACACAGGAAATAAGCTCAATCTTGGACCATCTCACACACAGGAAATAAGCTCAGCCTTGGACCATCTCACACACAGGAAATAAGCTCAATCTTGGACCACCATCTCACACACAGGAAATAAGCTCAATCTTGGACATCTCACACACAGGAAATAAGCTCAATCTTGGATCATATCACACACAAGAAATAAGCTCAGTCTTGGACCATATCACACACAGGAAATAAGCTCAATCTTGGACCATCATCTCACACACAGGAAATAAGCTCAATCTTGGACCATCAACACGCACACACAGGAAATAAGCTCAGTCTTAGACCACCATCTCACACAGGAAATAAGCTCAGTCTTAGACCACCATCTCACACAGGAAATAAGCTCAATCTTGGACCATCATCTCACACACAGGAAATAAGCTCAGTCTTAGACCACCATCTCACACACAGGAAATAAGCTCAATCTTGGACCACCATCTCACACACAGGAAATAAGCTCAGTCTTAGACCACCATCTCACACACAGGAAATAAGCTCAATCTTGGACCAAATAACTCACAGGAAATAAGCTCAATCTTGGACCACCATCTCACACACAGGAAATAAGCTCAATTTTGGACCATCAACACGCACACACAGGAAATAAGCTCAAACTTGGACCATATTACACACAGGAAATAAGCTCAATCTTGGACCATCTCACACACAGGAAATAAGCTCAATCTTGGACCATCATCTCACACAGGAAATAAGCCCAATCTTGGACCACCATCTCACACACAGGAAATAAGCTCAATCTTGGACCGCCATCTCACACACAGGAAATAAGCTCAATCTTGGACCACCATCTCACACACAGGAAATAAGCTCAATCTTGGACCATCTTACACACAGGAAATAAGCTCAATCTTAGACCACCATCTCACACACAGGAAATAAGCTCAATCTTGGACCACCATCTCACACACAGGAAATAAGCTCAATCTTAGACCATCATCTCACACACAGGAAATAAGCTCAGCCTTTGACCATCTCACACACAGGAAATAAGCTCAGTCTTGGACCACCATCTCACACACAGGAAATAAGCTCAGCCTTGGACCGCCATCTCACACACAGGAAATAAGCTCAATCTTGGACCATCTCACACACAGGAAATAAGCTCAATCTTGGACCATCTTACACACAGGAAATAAGCTCAATCTTAGACCACCATCTCACACACAGGAAATAAGCTCAATCTTGGACCACCATCTCACACACAGGAAATAAGCTCAATCTTAGACCATCATCTCACACACAGGAAATAAGCTCAGCCTTGGACCATCTCACACACAGGAAATAAGCTCAGTCTTGGACCACCATCTCACACACAGGAAATAAGCTCAGCCTTGGACCATCTCACACACAGGAAATAAGCTCAATCTTGGACCACCATCTCACACACAGGAAATAAGCTCAATCTTGGACATCTCACACACAGGAAATAAGCTCAATCTTGGATCATATCACACACAAGAAATAAGCTCAGTCTTGGACCATATCACACACAGGAAATAAGCTCAATCTTGGACCATCATCTCACACACAGGAAATAAGCTCAATCTTGGACCATCAACACGCACACACAGGAAATAAGCTCAGTCTTAGACCACCATCTCACACAGGAAATAAGCTCAGTCTTAGACCACCATCTCACACAGGAAATAAGCTCAATCTTGGACCATCATCTCACACACAGGAAATAAGCTCAGTCTTAGACCACCATCTCACACACAGGAAATAAGCTCAATCTTGGACCACCATCTCACACACAGGAAATAAGCTCAGTCTTAGACCACCATCTCACACACAGGAAATAAGCTCAATCTTGGACCAAATAACTCACAGGAAATAAGCTCAATCTTGGACCACCATCTCACACACAGGAAATAGGCTCAATCTTGGACCATCAACACGCACACACAGGAAATAAGCTCAATCTTGGACCATATTACACACAGGAAATAAGCTCAATCTTGGACCATCTCACACACAGGAAATAAGCTCAATCTTGGAAAATCATCTCACACAGGAAATAAGCCCAATCTTGGACCACCATCTCACACACAGGAAATAAGCTCAATCTTGGACCGCCATCTCACACACAGGAAATAAGCTCAATCTTGGACCACCATCTCACACACAGGAAATAAGCTCAATCTTGGACCATCTTACACACAGGAAATAAGCTCAATCTTAGACCACCATCTCACTTACAGGAAATAAGCTCAATCTTGGACCACCATCTCACACACAGGAAATAAGCTCAATCTTAGACCATCATCTCACACACAGGAAATAAGCTCAGCCTTTGACCATCTCACACACAGGAAATAAGCTCAGTCTTGGACCACCATCTCACACACAGGAAATAAGCTCAGCCTTGGACCGCCATCTCACACACAGGAAATAAGCTCAATCTTGGACCATCTCACACACAGGAAATAAGCTCAATCTTGGACCATCTTACACACAGGAAATAAGCTCAATCTTAGACCACCATCTCACACACAGGAAATAAGCTCAATCTTGGACCACCATCTCACACACACAGGAAATAAGCTCAATCTTAGACCATCATCATCACACACAGGAAATAAGCTCAGCCTTGGGACCATCTCACACACAGGAAATAAGCTCAGTCTTGGACCACCATCTCACACACAGGAAAATAAGCTCAGCCTTGGACCATCTCACACACAGGAAATAAGCTCAATGGACCATATTCACCACCACAGGAAAATAAGACCATCCATCAATCTCACACACAGGAAGCTCAAGACCACATCTCAGGAAATCTTTGGAACATCTCACAACACAGGAAATAAGAAATAAGCTCAGTCTTCGACCACCAGCACACAAGGATCATATCAACTCACACACAAGAAATAAGCTCAGTCTTGGACCATATCACACACAGGAAATAAGAAATAAGCTCAATCTTGGATCTCAACACAGGAAATAAGCTCATTTTCTCACACACAGGAAATAAGCTCAATCTTGGACCACCATCTAGGAATAACACGCACACACAGGAAATAAGCTCAGTCTCACACAGGAAATAAGCCCAAGACCACCATCTCACACAGGAAATAAGCTCAATCTTAGACCACCATCTCACACACAGGAAATAAGCTCAATCTTGGACCATCAGCTCAATCTTCATCACACACAGGAAATAAGCTCAATTCTTAGACCACCATCTCACACACAGGAAATAAGCTCAATCTTGGACCACCATCTCACACACAGGAAATAAGCTCAGTCTTAGACCACCATCTCACACACAGGAAATAAGCTCAATCTTTGGACCATCTAACTCACAGGAAATAAGCTCAATCTTGGACCACCATCTCACACACAGGAAATAAGCTCAATCTTGGCACCATCTCCATCAGCTCACATCTCAACACACAGGAAATAAGCTCAATCTTGGACCATCTTACACACAGGAAATAAGCTCAATCTTGGACCCCATCTCACACACAGGAAATAAGCTCAATCTTGGACAAATCATCCTCACACACAGGAAATAAGCATATGCACACCAATCATCTTGGACCACCATCTCACACACAGGAAATAAGCTCAATCTTGGAACCGCCATCTCACACACAGGAAATAAGCTCAATCTTGGACCACCATCTCACACACAGGAAATAAGCTCAATCTTGGACCATCTTACACACAGGAAATAAGCTCAATCTTAGACCACCATCTCACTTACAGGAAATAAGCTCAATCTTGGACCACCATCTCACACACAGGAAATAAGCTCAATCTTAGACAACCATCACACCATCATCTCACACACAGGAAATAAGCTCAGCCTTGACCATCTCATCTCACACAGGAAATAAGCTCAGTCTTGGACCACCATCTCACCACACAGGAAATAAGCTCAGCCTTGGACCGCCATCTCACACACAGGAAAATAAGCTCAATCTTTGGACCAATCTCACACACAGGAAATAAGCTCAATCTTGGACCATCTTACACACAGGAAATAAGCTCAATCTTAGGAAATAAGCCAATCTTGGAGACCACCATCTCACACACAGGAAATAAGCTCAATCTTGGGACACCACCATCTCACACACAGGAAATAAGCTCAATCTTAGACCATCATCTCACACACAGGAAATAAGCTCAGCCTTGGACCATCTCACACACAGGAAATAAGCTCAGTCTTGGACCACCATCTCACACACAGGAAATAAGCTCAGACCTCTGGACCGCCATCTCACACACAGGAAATAAGCTCAATCTTGGACCCATCTCACACACAGGAAATAAGCTCAATCTTGGACAATCATTGGACCATCTCACACACAGGAAATAAGCTCATCTCACACACAGGAAAATAATCAATCTTGGACACATCATCATTGGACCATCTCACACACAGAAATAAGCTCAATCATGAACAATCAACTCAAAAATAGAAAGACCACGTAACCTTATGTTGTCTTCACTAACATAGACAAAAGGTTCGGCGACAGGACCGTCATTATGGCATAGTTGGACAGAAACAAACCAATTGAATGTTATCATCTCAAACGTATACAATCAACTAAGTCATAAGACGTCAAGTCAGTCAGCTGTAACAAACACAAATTTCAATAATTCATCTAAAAACAAGTTCCTTGGTCAGAGGAGCAACAACTCTGCAACATCCACATCATTGTTTCTGTCTCGTCCCTGCCCATAGAAGGCATATACAACAAAGCCATTTGTAAAAAACTTCACATAGCTCGACAGCCTTCATTTCTGTACACCACTCAGTCACTTTGCCCACTGTCGATCCCGTGCTGTTTGTTCCCTCTCTTCCCACTGCCTATATGCAAGTAAATTGTTCGCAAAAGTCAGTATCCTTCCAACTCCTGGTGCTTCTAGGCTTGCAATCTTGCTCGTATTCACGTTAAAGAGCACAGGCGAGATGGCGGATGCCTGTGGCAGTCCTGGGACCAAAGTGCATGGTTCTGAGATCCATGTGCCCAGTCGGAGAGCAACCCGACGTGAATACAGGACAGCTGCAACCCAATTCACCAGCCGTGGACTGACCTCCTTCTCCTTCATGCAGTCATTAAGATGTCGTTGTTGTCTGTGAACTGGCCGGTAAAACTAACGTTGTTCTCCCCAGATCCCTCCCATACACAAACTAGCTCACTTTTGATTGGTAGACCTTGAGCCACGCGTCCCTGTCACAAGGTTAGGGAAATTTTTCGCAATGCCGTTGATATGGACTGTTGTATATTTCACCCTGCCAGCGCTTTCAACACTCCAAAAAAGCATGGACAAACTGGGTCTAACACAACCTATGTCCCAGTCCTTCTCTTTCTGAGAATAAAAACGTAAATGCAAGACAACACAGAAAGCGAACAAATGAGCGGCACACCCCTAACCTGCAGTAAAGTAGACCAACCCAAAAAACTTATGAATGAAACGTCACCTACTTTGTTTGGGGAGACTAACTAAAACCTAACCGAACTGGCCTACCTGGACCAGGTGTCCTCGTGTGTCATAAACCTCCTCTGCGAACGTCAGCCCCAGACCGTCCACATCGTTGTTCTCAATGTAAGAAATCTTGCTGCTGTACAACACGGGATCATCGGTCTCAAAGTGCTGAAACGTGGACCACAAGAGATTGAGCCCTGCTTTAGTTGCACAGCACAGTACAACACAGCACAGAACAGCACAGCACTGAACAATAAGTCGTCATGTACAACATTCACTGTACAGCACAGAACAATCAGTCATCATGTACAACATACACTGTACACCACAGCACAGAACAATAAGTCATTATGTACAACATAAACTGTACAGCACAGCACAGAACAATCAGTCATCATGTACAACATACACAGTACAGCACAGCATAGAACAATAAGTCATCATGTACAACATACACAGTACAGCACAGAACAATCAGTCATCATGTACAACATACACAGTACACCACAGCACAGAACAATAAGTCATTATGTACAACATAAACTGTACAGCACAGCACAGAACAATCAGTCATCATGTACAACATACACAGCACAGCACAGCATAGAACAATAAGTCATCATGTACAACATACACAGTACAGCACAGCACAGAACAATCAGTCATCATGTACAACATACACTGTACAGCACAGAACAATCAGTCATCATGTACAACATACACAGTACAGCACAGCACAGAACAATAAGTCATCATGTACAACATACACTGTACAGCACAGCACAGAACAATCAGTCATCATGTACAACATACACTGTACAGCACAGAACAATCAGTCATCATGTACAACATACACAGTACAGCACAGCACAGAACAATCAGTCATCATGTACAACATACACTGTACAGCACAGCACAGAACAATCAGTCATTATGTACAACATACACTGTACAGCACAGCACAGAACAATAAGTCATCATGTACAACATACACTGTACAGCACAGCACAGAACAATAAGTCATTATGTTCAACATACACAGTACAGCACAGAACAATAAGTCATTATGTTCAACATACACAGTACAGCACAGCACATAACAATCAGTCATTATGTACAACATACACTGTACAGCACAGCATAGAACAATCAGTCATTATGTACAACATACACTGTACAGCACAGCACAGAACAATCAGTCATTATGTACAACATACACTGTACAGCACAGCACAGAACAATCAGTCATTATGTACAACATACACTGTACAGCACAGCATAGAACAATCAGTCATCATGTACAACATACACTGTACAGCACAGCATAGAACAATCAGTCATCATGTACAACATACACAGCACAGCACAGAACAATAAGTCATTATGTTCAACATACACAGTACAGCACAGAACAATAAGTCATTATGTACAACATACACAGTACAGCACAGCACAGAACAATAAGTCATTACGTTCAACATACACAGTACAGCACAGAACAATAGGTCATTACGTTCAACATACACAGTACAGCACAGAACAATAAGTCATTACGTTCAACATACACAGTACAGCACAACAAAGAACAATAAGTCATTATGTTCAACATACACAGTACAGCACAGCACAGAACAATAAGTCATTACGTTCAACATACACAGTACAGCACAACACAGAACAATAAGTCATTACGTTCAACATACACAGTACAGCACAGCACAGAACAATAAGTCATTATGTACAACATACACAGTACAGCACAGCACAGAACAATCAGTCATCATGTACAACATACACAGTACAGCACAGCACAGAACAATCAGTCATCATGTACAACATACACTGTACAGCACAGCATAGAACAATCAGTCATCATGTACAACATACACTGTACAGCACAGCATAGAACAATCAGTCATCATGTACAACATACACTGTACAGCACAGCACAGAACAATCAGTCATCATGTACAACATACACAGCACAGAACAATCAGTCATTGTGTACAACATACACTGTACAGCACAGCATAGAACAATCAGTCATCATGTACAACATACACTGTACAGCACAGCATAGAACAATCAGTCATCATGTACAACATACACAGTACAGCACAGCACAGAACAATCAGTCATCATGTACAACATACACAGTACAGCACAGCACAGAACAATCAGTCATCTTGTACAACATACACTGTACAGCACAGCATAGAACAATCAGTCATTATGTACAACATACACTGTACAGCACAGCACAGAACAATCAGTCATCATGTACAACATACACTGTACAGCACAGCACAGAACAATCAGTCATTACGTTCAACATACACTGTACAGCACAGCATAGAACAATAAGTCATTATGTACAACATACACTGTACAGCACAGCACAGAACAATAAGTCATTATGTTCAACATACACAGTACAGTACAGAACAATCAGTCATCATGTACAACATACACAGTACAGCACAGCATAGAACAATAAGTCATTATGTTCAACATACACAGCACAGCACAGAACAATCAGTCATCATGTACAACATACACAGTACAGTACAGAACAATCAGTCATCATGTACAACATACACTGTACAGCACAGCACAGAACAATAAGTCATTATGTTCAACATACACAGCACAGCACAGAACAATCAGTCATCATGTACAACATACACAGTACAGCACAGCATAGAACAATCAGTCATCATGTACAACATACACTGTACAGCACATCATAGAACAATCAGTCATCATGTACAACATACACAGTACAGCACAGCACAGAACAATCAGTCATCATGTACAACATACACTGTACAGCACAGAACAATCAGTCATCATGTACAACATACACAGTACAGCACAGCACGGAACAATCAGTCATCATGTACAACATACACAGTACAGCACAACACAGAACAATCAGTCATTATGTACAACATATACAGTACAGCACAGCACAGAACAATCATCATGTACAACATACACTGTACAGCACAGCACAGAACAATCAGTCATTATGTACAACATACACAGTACAGCACAGCACAGAACAATCAGTCATTATGTACAACATACACAGTACAGTACAGCACAGAACAATAAGTCATTATGTACAACATACACAGTACAGCACAGCACAGAACAATCAGTCGTCATGTACAACATACACAGTACAGTACAGAACAATCAGTCATCGTGTACAACATACACTGTACAGCACAGAACAATCAGTCATCATGTACAACATACACAGCACAGCACAGGACAATCAGTCATTATGTACAACATACACAGTACAGTACAGCACAGAACAATCATCATGTACAACATACACAGTACAGCACACCACAGAACAATCATCGTGTACAACATAAACAGTACTACAGACATGTCCACACTTTTAGTTCTATGTTAAAGATGTAGTTATTCCTGCAACATAACCAGCTGAGTGCATCAAAACCAGTGTAACACATTTTGGGATGCACATGGTATGGCGCCATACACACGTCTGGCATTCTGAAAACTAAGGAAACCACAACGGCTGACATTTATCTAGATAAAAATAAGGAAACCACAACGGCTGACATTTATCTAGATAAAACCAAGGAAACCACAACGGCTGACATTTATTTAGATAAAACTAAGGAAACCACAACGGCTGACATTTATTTAGATAAACTAAGGAAACCACAACGGCTGACATTTATTTAGATAAACTAAGGAAACCACAACGGCTGACATTTATTTACATAAAACTAAGGAAACCACAACGGCTGACATTTATTTAGATAAACTAAGGAAACCACAACGGCTGATATTTATTTAGATAAAACTAAGGAAACCACAACGGCTAACATTTATCTAGATAAAACCAAGGAAACCACAGCGGCTGACATTTATTTAGATAAAACTAAGGAAACCACAACGGCTGACATTTATTTAGATAAAACTAAGGAAACCACAACGGCTGACATTTATTTAGATAAAACTAAGGAAACCACAACTGCTGACATTTATTTAGATAAACTAAGGAAACCACAACGGCTGACATTTATTTAGATAAACTAAGGAAACCACAACGGCTGACATTTATTTAGATAAAACTAAGGAAACCACAACGGCTAACATTTATCTAGATAAAACCAAGGAAACCACAACGGCTGACATTTATTTAGATAAAACTAAGGAAACCACAACGGCTGACATTTATCTAGATAAAACTAAGAAAACCACAACGGCTGACATTTATCTAGATAAAACCAAGGAAGCCACAACGGCTGACATTTATCTAGATAAAACTAAGGAAACCACAACGGCTGACATTTATCTAGATAAAACTAAGGAAACCACAACGGCTGACATTTATCTAGATAAAACCAAGGAAACCACAACGGCTGACATTTGTCTAGATAAAACTAAGGAAACCACAACGGCTGACATTTATCTAGATAAAACCAAGGAAACCACAAAGTCTGACATTTAAACAGAAAATTTGCTGTTCTTTTAGTCTTCCAAAGACTGGCACTGACCTTGTAGGTAACCTTGACCCCAATAAGCTGAGCTAAGAATGACCTGGTGAAGCGTGCCTTGACCAGCTGTGTCCGGCCCATGGCCGATTCAAACAAACATTTGCCCACGATCTGTCCGGCAAATTGGTACAGTTTGATCTTCTGACCAGCTGACCTCTTGGTGTTTGGGTGAATCTGCAAAGCATAAAATGTGGTTCAACGTTATTATGGAGAGGATAAAGTTGTCAAACATAATGCCAGATGAATCTATCCAGCATATACCATGAAACAGATGAATCTATCCAGCATATACCATGAAACAGATGAATCTATCCAGCATATACCATGAAACAGATGAATCTATCCAGCATATACCATGAAACAGATGAATCTATCCAGCATATACCATGAAACAGATGAATCTATCCAGCATATACCATGAAACAGATGAATCTATCCAGCATATACCATGAAACAGATGAATCTATCCAGCATATACCATGAAACAGATGAATCTATCCAGCATATACCATGAAACAGATGAATCTATCCAGCATATACCATGAAACAGATGAATCTATCCAGCATATACCATGAAACAGATGAATCTATCCAGCATATACCATGAAACAGATGAATCTATCCAGCATATACCATGAAACAGATGAATCTATCCAGCATATACCATGAAACAGATGAATCTATCCAGCATATACCATGAAACAGATGAATCTATCCAGCATATACCATGAAACAGATGAATCTATCCAGCATATACCATGAAACAGATGAATATATCCAGCATATACCATGAAACAGATGAATCTATCCAGCATATACCATGAAACAGATGCATCTATCCAGCATATACCATGAAACAGATGAATCTATCCAGCATATACCATGAAACAGATGAATCTATCCAGCATATACCATGAAACAGATGAATCTATCCAGCATATACCATGAAACAGATGAATCTATCCAGCATATACCATGAAACAGATGAATCTATCCAGCATATACCATGAAACAGATGAATCTATCCAGCATATACCATGAAACAGATGAATCTATCCAGCATATACCATGAAACAGATGAATCTATCCAGCATATACCATGAAACAGATGAATCTATCCAGCATATACCATGAAACAGATGAATCTATCCAGCATATACCATGAAACAGATGAATCTATCCAGCATATACCATGAAACAGATGAATCTATCCAGCATATACCATGAAACAGATGAATCTATCCAGCATATACCATGAAACAGATGAATCTATCCAGCATATACCATGAAACAGATGAATCTATCCAGCATATACCATGAAACAGATGAATCTATCCAGCATATACCATGAAACAGATGAATCTATCCAGCATATACCATGAAACAGATGAATCTATCCAGCATATACCATGAAACAGATGAATCTATCCATACAAGTTGCTTTTATTGCTATGGTTGGGAAAGGATCTGATTTTGTTTGCACCAAGTCTAATGTCTGAAATGGCTGGCTCTGCTCAAAATTGGGGCTTATTTTTCAAAGCTGAGTGGTCACTCTGGACATGTCTGGGTCTCCATTGTGGTCACTCTGGACATGTCTGGGTCCCCCATTGTGGTCACTCTGAACATGTCTGGGTCCCTCATTGTGGTCACTCTGAACATGTCTGGGTCCTTCATTGTGGTCACTCTGGACATGTCTGGGTCCTCCATTGTGGTCACTCTGGACATGTCTGGGTCCCCCATTGTGGTCACTCTGTACATGTCTGGGTCCCCCATTGTGGTCACTCTGGACATGTGTGGGTCCGCCATTGTGGTCACTCTGGACATGTCTGGGTCCCCCATTGTGGTCACTCTGTACATGTCTGGGTCCCCCATTGTGGTCACTCTGGACATGTCTGGATCCCCAATTGTGGTCACTCTAGACATGTCTGGGTCCTCCATTGTGGTCACTCTAGACATGTCTGAGTCCCCAATTGTGGTCACTCTAGACATGTCTGGGTCCTCCATTGTGGTCACTCTAGACATGTCTGGGTCCTCCATTGTGGTCACTCTAGACATGTCTGGGTCCTCCATTGTGGTCACTCTGGACATGTCTGGGTCCCCAATTGTGGTCATTCTAGACATGTCTGGGTCCTCCATTGTGGTCACTCTAGACATGTCTGGGTCCCCAATTGTGGTCACTCTAGACATGTCTGGGTCCTCCATTGTGTTCAAGAATGTTCTACTGCTCATGTCCATATTTCTGTCTTCTGGGTGTGATCTGGCTCCAGTTTACTGTGCCTGTACTGTGTCTGTACTGTGTCTGTACTGTGTCAGTAATGCGCCTGTACTGTGTCTGTACTGTGTTTGTACTGTGTCTGTACTGTGTCTGTTCTGTGTCTGTTCTGTGCCTGTACCTTGTCTTTTCTGTGCATGTACTGTGTCTGTACTGTGTCAGTAATGCGCATGTACTGTGTCTGTACTGTGTCAGTAATGAGCATGTACTGTGTCTGTACTGTGTCAGTAATGCGCATGTACTGTGTCTGTACTGTGTCAGTAATGCGCCTGTACTGTGTCTGTACTGTGTCAGTAATGCGCCTGTACTGTGTCTGTACTGTGTCTGTACTGTGTCTGTACTGCGCCTGTTCTGTGTCTGTTCTGTGCCTGTACTGTGTCTGTTCTGTGCATGTACTGTCTCTGTACTTTGTCTGTTCTGTGTCTGTTCTATGCCTGTACTGTGTCTGTTCTGTGCATGTACTGTGTCTGTACTGTGTCTGTACTGTGTCAGTAATGCGCCTGTACTGTGTCTGTACTGTGTTTGTACTGTGTCTGTACTGTGTCTGTTCTGTGTCTGTTCTGTGCCTGTACCTTGTCTTTTCTGTGCATGTACTGTGTCTGTACTGTGTCAGTAATGCGCCTGTACTGTGTCTGTACTGTGTCAGTTTTGTGTCAGTAATGCGCCTGTACTGTGTCTGTACTGTGTTTGTACTGTGTCTGTACTGTGTCTGTTCTATGTCTGTTCTGTGCCTGTACCCTGTCTTTTCTGTGCATGTACTGTGTCTGTACTGTGTCAGTAATGCGCCGGTACTGTGTCTGTACTGTGTCAGTAATGCGCCTGTACTGTGTTAGTAATGCGCCTGTACTGTGTCTGTACTGTGTCTGTACTGCGCCTGTACTATGCCTGTACTGTTTATGTACTGTGTCTATACTGTGCCTGTACTGTGCCTGTACTGTGCCTGTACTGCGCCTGTACTGTGTCTATACTGTGTCTGTACTGTGTCTGTACTGTGTCTGTGCTGTGTCTGTACTGTATCTATACTGTGTGTGTACTGTGTCTGTACTGTGTCTGTACTGCGCCTGTACTGCGTCTGTACTGTGTGTGTACTGTGCCTGTACTATACCTGTACTGTGTCTGTACTGTGCCTGCACTATGTCTGTACTGTGCCTGTACTGTGTCTATACTGTGTCTGTACTGTGTCTGTACTGTGTCTATGCTGTGTCTGTACTGTGTCTATACTGTGTGTGTACTGTGTCTGTACTGTGCCTGTACTGTGTCTGTACTGTGTCTGTACTGCGCCTGTACTCTGTATTGTGTCTGTACTGTGTCTGTACAATGCATGTACTATGTCTGTACTGTGCCTGTACTGTGTCTGTACTGTGTCTGTACTGTGTCTGTACAGTGCATGTACTATGTCTGTACTGTGCCTGTACTGTGTCTGTACTGTGTACTGTGTACTGTGTCTGTACTGTGTTTGTACTGAGCCTCTACTGTTTCTGTACTTTGTCTGTACTGTGTTTGTACTGTGCCTGTACTGTGTCTGTACTATGTATGTACTGTGCCTGTACTGTGTCTGTACTGTGTCTGTACTGTGCTTGAACTCCTTACATTCAGTGTGATGGCTGTCTTCCGGTGTAGTGTATCCTATTTTATGACCTAGAGATCGTGTCCTCATTTATGTCTTTGATTGGTTGTCCGTTTCTCCTCTTTTGGAGTCCTGATATGGGTGGGTCCCAATATGATTCCAGACTGTGCCGTGGGCGTCCCCAGCAACTACTAAGATGGTCATCAATACTGACTTTTAATACAATAATCTTATGGTTTTAAAATGTTGATTGTCTTTAATGCCGGAACTGATATAAGTAAGGATTTATATAAAGGTAGGAAACACAGCTCCCCAACTTACCAAACCCTGGGGGTTATCAGTGAATCGGACAAACAGCTGTGAACGATTGGGGTCAAACAGCTCCTGACACAAGACGTCAAACCACTCCCTGCTCACCCCGCCCCAGTCCACGGCCTCCTCTCCAGAGAAGACCACTTCAAACGGCTTGCACCAGTCCGCTACTTTGAATTGTTTCGTTGCTTTGTAAGACTGCAACATAAGTGTTCATATTTTACACTCAGACACCAGTTAACCTCAGGAGACAATCTACATTCTTTATTTATGTCATAAGAAGAAGAAAACTGGAGTACATGGTGACAGCTGGAGGGGACGAGAGGCAGAGGCAGACAGAGAGGGAAGGAGAGGCAGAGGCAGATAGAGAGGGGAGGGGAGGCAGAGGCAGATAGAGAGGGGACGAGAGGCAGAGGCAGACAGAGAGGAGATGCTGAAGGTACTGAACAGCCTGACATCATGGCATGGAAGACCATCATTGTAAGAACATTGAAAGTTCACGAGACAGAAGTTTGTAGATAGACATGACTACCAACGCCAGACGATATCGACTATTAGAAGAAGTTCACTGCATATGATAACAATATGATGTAGAGATATGGGCAATAAATCAACAATGTTAGAGCAAAGGTGAAACTCTTTGGCATGTGGTTACACAGACAAGAGGGGTATCACTGCTAGAGAAGAACATGAAGAAATGCAACAGGCTGTCTAGATAAGTTTAGCATTTTAATAATATGATTTTGGCTATACTTGCGAACTAAAACTGACAGGTTTGCAGACTGGGACTCCCCTGCAGTGCCAGCGAGAGGATACGTTGATTTAAGGCCCCACGCAGCAAACAAGGCTCTTTGGGCTCTTTGATCTTGCCAGTCGTCGTAGGGACATGTAATCTTCCTATCGTTGCAGAACTGAACATGGTTCACGACGCAATGCATGTTGGGCGGACTGAGTCGAGAGAAATGAGCTGGTTCACTGCTTAGTACATGGTCTGTTCGAACGCGTTGTTGATTGTTAATGTATTGCTATCTGCCTAGCCCGTTAGTTTTGTGTTCAGGAAAATAAGTAGATGTGAATTTGACTATTATATTCCATTTGTTTGATTTAGAATAGGTTCTTGTAGTTCGTGCACATAGTCTGCCTGGGTACTGCCTATTTAGTTATATGTTGTAGCTGTTGTGTAATTTCCTATTCAAATTTTATCGCCCAAACTATGGGTAATATGTTATGGTTCCCGCACCAGACGAATCCTTGTCTTTTCTTTCAATAATATATATTCACTGTCCTTTTTAGGACGACATTTTTCCTTATTTGAAGCCCCACTCTGGCTCTTACAATAAAGCCAGGCCATAAATATAGCATAATGGCTGAACGTGGTTTCTGGGACCTCTCCACGGTGATCCTCATCCACATGGTGGCACTTTGTGTCATTGGGTGTTTATCGTTTGTGTGATGTCCTGGTGGGGTAGAAAGTCAGTCGTCAGTTGTCTTTTCTTTACTTTTCCTGTTTTTGCAGTCCAGCGGGGAACAACTTGTTGTCTCAGCCACATTTGTTTTCCTCTTCTCCCTCCTGTTTCTGCTTTTTCGCTTTCCGCCAGCTCAGAAAGGAGATTCATAAACACTGACTGTGAAGAAAAAATAACTAAATAAGATCGATGGGAGATCATCTATGTTTCTCGACTATGCTCAGAGATACAGGTTTAGTGTTAAATGTCGTAATGGAGAGAAAAGTGGAGAAGAGTTGGAAAAAAAGGGGGGGGGGGAGAGATAAATAACCAACATGACATATAGGGGGTGGTGGGGAGGGGGGGGAATGATAAAACAACATATAGAAATGGACTGAGAGACACTGTTACACGCACGCACACATACAACAAGCACATGCGCAAGCAGACACAAATACACAGAAGGCTGCACAAATAGGAGACAAACAAAATATTTGTTGCACAAAGCCGATGTGATAATGACTCACACTTTTTAACACCTGCCAACGATCTATCTTTAGCAGCAGTCTTGAGTTTGTCTCCTTGGCAGGAATCTGTCTGACTTGTCTGTAGAAGAACTCTTGTTTGTCCTGGAAGGTCTCAGAGCCTCCTGAAAGTGATTGATATCAGACAGTGATTGATGTCAGACAGTGATTGATGTCAGACAGTGATTTATGTCAGACAATGACTGATGTCAGACAGTGATTGATATAAAAACAGTGATTGATATCAGACAGTGACTGATATCAGACAGTGATTGATATCCGACAGTGATCGATGTCAGACTGTGGTTGATTTCAGACAGTGATTGATGTCAGACAGTGATTGATATCAGATTGTGATTGATGTCAGACAGTTATTGTTATCAGACAAAGATTGATATTAGACAGTGATTGATGTCAGACAGTGATTGATATCAGAGAGTGACTGTTTGGGATTATCTGATATGTGCCGAGTTATATTATGTTGTTGTTATAATATTAATGATGTTGTTATGATGACATGATGTTGTTATGATGACACTGATGATGTTATGATGACATTGATGATGTTTTTATGATGACATTGATGATGTTGTTATGAAGACATAAATGATGTTATTATGATGACATTGATGATGTTGTTACGATGACATGATGATGTAATAATGATACTGATGTTGTTGTTATAGTGGCATTGATAATGTTGTTAACATTACCTGATGATGTTGTTACGATGACATCATAATGTTATTATGATGACATCATGATGTTATGATGACATCATGATGTTATGATGACATTGATGATGATATTATGATGACACTTACAATGTTGTTATGATGACATTGATGATGTTATTATGATGACATTAATGATGATGTTCTGAGGACATTGATGATGCTGTTATAAAGACAAAAATGATGCTGTTATGATGACATTAATGATGTTGTTATGACGACAATAATGATGTTGCTATGATGTCACTGATGATGTTGCTATGATGACACTGATGATGTTATGATGACATTGCTGATGTTGTTTTGATGACATTAATGATTTTGTTATGATGACATTAATGATGTTGTTATGATGACATGATGTTGTTATACAGACATTGATGATGTTGTTATGATGACATGATGATGTTATGATTTCACTGATGATGTTTTTATGATGAAATTATTGTTGTTATGATGACATTGATGATGTTGTTATGATGACATGGTGTTGTTATTATGACACTGATGATGTTGTTATGATGGCATTAATGCTGTTGTTATGTTGACATTGATGATGTTGTTATGATGACATGAGTGATGTTGTTATGATGCCATTGACGATGTTGTTATGAAAAGAATAATGATGTTGTTATGATGACACTGATGATGTTGTTTTGATGATATTAATGATGTTGTTATGATGACATTGTTGATGAATTTATGATGACATTGATGTCCATCCACTTAAACTGCACGTCACTAGACATCCCTAGGGCTGCCATAACATAACTGGGTTACACAGCTGAACGGGGTGTCTGACACCTGCCTGGTGTGATTTTTATCCATCAGCTGTTAATCCTATAGGAACAATCCTAGAGGGGGAAATAAAATTAATGATGCTGGTGTTTTGATGCTTGTTTTCTTCCCGATGATGTTGATAGTTTGATGATGATGGTGACAACGATGGTGGTGCATCTGATGATGATGATGTGGGTGGTAGTTCTGACAGAATAATCAATTTCACGGTAGGGGAGCTTAATGATATGGGTGGTAGTTGTGACAGAATAATCTGACGGTAGGGGAGCATAATGATGTTGGTGGTAATTCTGACAAAATAATCTGACGGTAGGGGAGCTTGATGATGTGCGTGGTAGTTCTGACAGAATAATCAATCTGACGGTAGGGGAGCTTGATGATGTGCGTGGTAGTTCTGACAGAATAATCAATGACTGAGCATAATGATGTGAGTGGTAGATCTGACGGTAGGGGAGCTTGATGATGTGGGTGGTAGAATTCTGACAGGGGAGAATGAATGACAATCTGACGGTAGGGGAGGGATGATGTGGGTGGTATGACAGAATAATCTGACGGTAGGGGAGCATAATGATGTGGGTGGTAGTTCTGACAGAATAATCAATCTGACGTAGGGGAGCTTGATGATGTGGGTGGTAGTTCTGACAGAATAATCTGACGGTAGGGGAGCTTGATGATGTGGGTGGTAGTTCTGACAGAATAATAGATCTGACGGTAGGGGAGTAATGGTGAGTGGTAGTTCTGACAGAATAATCAATCTGACGGTAGGGGAGCTTGATGATGTGGGTGGTAGTTGTGACAGAATAATCAATAATGAATGTGGTAGGGGAGCATAATGATGTGAGTGGTAGTTCTGACAGATAGATCTGACGGTAGGGAAGCATAGTTGTGACAGTAATAATCTGATCTGATAGGGGAGCTTGAGGGGAGCATAATGTGGGTGGTAGTTCTGACAGAATAATCTGACGGTAGGGGAGCTTGATGATGTGGGTGGTAGTTCTGACAGAATAATCAATCTGACGGTAGGGGAGCATAATGATGTGAGTGGTAGTTCTGACAGAATAATAGATCTGACGGTAGGGGAGCATAATGATGTGAGTGGTAGTTCTGACAGAATAATGATGTGAGTGGTAAATCTGACGGTAGGGGAGCATAATGATGTGGGTGGTAGTTCTGACAGAATAATCTGACGGTAGGGGAGCTTGATGATGTGAGTGGTAGTTCTGACAGAATAATAGATCTGACGGTAGGGGAGCATAATGATGTGAGTGGTAGTTCTGACAGAATAATAGATCTGACGGTAGGGGAGCATAATGATGTGGGTGGTAGTTCTGACCGAATAATCAAGATCAAGATCAAGCATGATGCAGCACTGATAACAAACAAATGGCTAAGTTATCTTCTCCTACATCCAGCTGGATTCCAGGCTCACACGTTGACGTTCATCAGAGATCTCGTTGTAGGGGCGCTTTCAGAGAACTGGACGATTTCTGTCAAAAGTCAAAACATTGGGGCAGACTTTTGGATTCTTAAATAGGAATATTTGATGAGAGAAACTCTATGGATTTTTAAATAGGAATATTTGATGAGAGAAATTCTACGTATTCTTAAATAGGAATATTTGATGAGAGAAATTCTATGGATTCTTAAATAGGAATATTTTATGAGAGAAATTCTATGGATTCTTAAATAGGAATATTTGATGAATGAAATTCTATGGATTCTTAAATAGGAATATTTGATGAGAGAAATTCTATGGATTCTTAAATAGGAATATTTGATGAGAGAAATTCTATGGATTCTTAAATAGGAATATTTGATGAGAGAAATTCTATGGATTTTTAAATAGGAATATTTGATGAGAGAAATTCTACGTATTCTTAAATAGGAATATTTGATGAGAGAAATTCTATCGATTCTTAAATAGGAATATTTTATGAGAGAAATTCTATGGATTCTTAAATAGGAATATTTGATGAATGAAATTCTATGGATTCTTAAATAGGAATATTTGATGAGAGAAATTCTATGGATTCTTAAATAGGAATATTTGATGAGAGAAATTCTATGGATTCTTAAATAGGAATATTTGATGAGAGAAATTCTATGGATTCTTAAAAAGTAATATTTGATGAGAGAAATTCTATGGATTCCTAAATAGGAATATTTGATGAGAGAAATTCTATGGATTCTCAAATAGGAATATTTGATGAGAAAATTCTAGACGTGTATTTGGTGTGTTTAAGAAAAAAAATTGAGCAACATACAAACAAACAACACACCGGCAAATAACATTCAACAACGAGCACGAACAAAAGAGATACCCAAACGTCTCATGAGAAAACGGGAAAACGTTGCTGCGATGACGCTGCAGTCGCTGGACGCCAGTTGCACTGAAGTAGAGCTACCGTCATGGATAGAGAATCTTGCAGGATCGACAGAGAATTTGGTAGGATCAGACCAGCATTTCAGACCGTGAAACATGAACTGGAAATAAACCCAAAAAAAAAACAGTCGATGACAGAGAATCCTGTACCCATTAACAGAATTAGAATGTTGCCTAGTGTTGTTGCGTAGTGTTGTTGCCTAGTGTTGTTGCCTAGTGTTATTGCCTAGTGTTGTTGCCTAGTGTTGTTGCCTAGTGTTGTTGCCTAGTGTTGTTGCCTAGTGTTGTTGCTTAGTGTTGTTGCCTAGTATTGTTGCCTAGTGTTGTTGTCTACTGTTGTTGCCTAGTGTTGTTGCCTATTGTTGTTGCCTAGTGTTGTTGTCTAGTGATGTTGTCTAGTGTTGTTGTATAGTGTTGTTGTCTAGTGTTGTTGTCTAGTGTTGTCTAGTGTTGTTGTCTAGTGATGTTGTCTAGTGATGTTGTCTAGTGTTGTTGTATAGTGTCGTTGTCTAGTGTTGTTGCCTAGTGTTGTTGTCTAGTGTTGTTGCCTAGTGTTGTTGTCTAATGATGTTGTCTAGTGTTGTTGCCTAGTGTTGTTATTTAGTGATGTTGCCTAGTGTTGTTGCCTAGTGTTGTTGCCTAGTGTTGTTGCCTAGTGTTGTTATCTAGTGTTGTTGTTTAGTGATGTTATCTAGTGTTGTTGCCTAGTGTTGTTGCCTAGTGTTGTTGCCTAGTGTTGTTGTCTACTGTTGCTGACTAGTGGCAAGGATGTCAGGAATTCATTCTCTGTATGGAGTCCAACCAGGCTTTTTTCTCTATCTCAACTATGAAGGAACTTCAGGGCTGTTCCTACTTCTTCTACTCTGAGATGTGAATACTTTTAAGTCTGATTTTATCTGTCATTTTGTCAGCCTGAGATGTAGACAGACTTTTAGTTGTCTGGTTTAGCCTGACCTCCTCTAATCTCAGATGTATCAGACTATAAGTGGTGTGTTGTTTCCTTTGTTCTTGCTCGTCATAGGGAAAGTCAGTTCTGTTGGCTGTGTATCGTGTTGGGAATCAGACCCATAGTTTCAACAGTAGAGAGCAAGGGGAAGTCAGTGATTGACACAAAAGCCTACCTGAGTCCGTGGACACACCCGGAAGAGGCACAGCTGTTTGGCGCAGAACTGGAAGTAATTCTCCGTGATTGTTATTTGCTGCAACAAGACAGTTACAACACCGACATGGAATAATAATAATAATAATAATAATAATAATAACAATTATTATTATTATAATTATAATAATAATCACTAGCGGGAGTCGCCGGATCGGGAGGTCGTGGGTTCGCTCCTTGGAGGAGCCGGACTTTTTTCAAAAATGACCTTGGCTCCCAGGTCGACCAATCCTTGAGTGGGTACCGTGCTAGCCCTATGTGCCCTATACGCCTAAAGGCTGGAAAAGGGTCCTTTACTTACTTTTTAATAATCACCACCAACATCATCACGAAGAGCAGTGTTCCTCAACATAGGATCCCAGTCTAGTGTTTAGTTGTGCTATAGGTTTCATAAGATTCCCAATATAGTGTGCTAGTGTGTAGTTGTTGTATAGGTTTCATAAGATTCCCAATATAGTGTGTAGTTGTGCTATAGGCTATATAAGATTCTCAGTCTAAAGTGTAGTTGTGCTATAGGCTATATAAGATTCCCAGTCTAAAGTGTAGTTGTGCTATAGGCTATATAAGATTCCCAGTCTAAAGTGTAGTTGTGCTATAGGCTATATAAGATTCTCAGTCTAAAGTGTAGTTGTGCTATAGGCTATATAAGATTCTCAGTCTAGTGTGTAGTTGTGATATAGGCAACCTAAGTTTCTCAGTCTAGTGTGTAGTTGTGCTATAGGCTACATAAGATTCCCATTATAATGTGTTGTTGTACTATAGGGTACATAGGATTCCAAGTCCAGTGTGAGTGTGTAGGTGTGCTAAAGGCTACACAGGGTTCCCAGTCTAGTCTGTAGTTGTGCTATAGGCTACATAAGATTACCCGTCTAGTGTGTAGTTGTGCTATAGGGTACATAGGATCCCAAGTCTAGTGTGTAGTTGTGTTTTAGGCTACCACAGATCCCCAGTCTAGTGTGTAGTTGTGTTATAGGCTACCACAGATCCCCAGTCTAGTGTGTAGTTGTGCTATAGGCTACCACATATTCCCAGTCTAGTGTGTAGTTGTGCTATAGGCTACCACAGATCCCCAGTCTAGTGTGTAGTTGTGCTATAGGCTACCACATATTCCCAGTCTAGTGTGTAGTTGTGTTATAGGCTACCACATATTCCCAGTCTAGTGTGTAGTCTAGTGTGTAGTTGTGTTATAGGTGCTATAGGCTACCACATATTCCCAGTCTAGTGTGTAGTTGTATTATAGGCTACCACATATTCCCAGTCTAGTGTGTAGTTGTGCTATAGGCTACATAAGATTTCAGTCTAGTGTAGTTGTGCAACAGGCTACCACAGATTCCCAATCTAGTGTTTAGTTGTACTAAATGCTACCACAGATTCCAAGTCTAGTTTGTAGTTTTAATACACTATACACTTTAATACCGACACAAAACATCACACACACACACACTCACACATACACACACACGCACACACACACACACTGGACAGATCCAGGTACCTTTGGTGACACATGAACCTCAACCTTCTTTGGCTTGTCCAATGTCCGGCCGTCCAGCTGGAGCAGCGTGGCCGGAAACTTTCGACTGTCTCTGCTCTTGGTGACAAGTCTGTGTACTCTACCCAACTCGGCCACTGAAAGACATCCACATTTATCAGCTGGTGAATCCTGACAAAATGTACAGCCTTTTGCCATAACTATTTGTTCATTATTTACTTCTGAGCTGTGCGAAATTTCAAAGACGACTTGAGTAAATGGCCGAGTTAATTAAGAAGCTACGGCGGCGAGTTCTGACGGATCATTTTGATAGGTCCTGGATGGAAACTGCATCATTATCTCAGTCAGGAGACAACAACATGTTTATGTAACATTTCTTATGATCCCAGGATTTGAGGCTAGTCTATTGTCAAAGAAATACCCAAAACACGTTACGGAGAACATGACCAGCTTGACTTTAAACATGCAGGAGAAATATGACTATCTTAGGTCTAAACGTGGGAGGAAAGGGGGGGGGGGGGGACTTGACCAGGACCATGCTAAACATATGGTAAAATTTGACCAGCTTGGACCTAAAACATGTAGGGCAAACTTGACCATCTTGGACCTAAAATATGTAGGGCAAACTTGACCAGCTTGGACCTAAAATATGTAGGGCAAACGTGACCAAGCTGGGACCTAAAACATGTAGGGCAAACTTGACCAGCTTGGACCTAAAACATATAGGGCAAACTTGACCAAGCTGGGACCTAAAACATATAGGGCAAACTTGACCAAGCTGGGACCTAAAACATGTAGGGCAAACTTGACCAAGCTGGGACCTAAAACATGTAGGGCAAACTTGACCAAGCTGGGACTAATTCCTGACAGTCTGAAATGGTGCTTAGAATCCTATTTAAAAACGAGGTTGATCAATTATAATACTTGTATCACACATACTTCACACACAGAAATGGTTGATGACGTCACATACAGAACGGTTGATGTCACACACAGAATGGTTGAACACGTCACACAAAGAATGGTTGATGATGTCACACACAGAATCGTTGATGACGTCATACACAACTAGATCTCACAGACACACCGGCAGAGACTTACAGTCAAGGACCAGAATTTGGAACTCTCCATTCCTCAAAGTCTTGTTGCCATAGGTGACCAGAGCCCTGTAGCAACCCTTTCTGTCCATCTGGAGGTACATGAGCAGTCGGCGCTCCTGACGGTTGTAGATGATCTGGTTAGTGGGGCAGTGCCAGTCGCTGGTTCCAGCCTGGGGTCAGAGAAGGTCACTGTCAGCGTGTCAGAGACAGAAGCACCAGTTCTTAGAGGCTGTGATGATTACAGACAAGTCAAGGACCTTTTTCTGTGCCTTCAATCGGACAAGGCATATGGTGCTAGCCCTATGTTATATAGACCAATAGCAGGCACTAGGTGAGTGATGTCATCAACATCACGCCTGTCGCCTTCACTTCCCAGGACTCTTTCACCTGGTTCCCATGTTAGGCTGGATCGATACGGTAGCCAAGGTCATTGACAAACAAAACATCGTGCTCGACAATGTTGCAGTGACAGACGACATCAGTGTTACAGTTAGTTACAGTTAGTTACAGTTAGTAACAGTTAGTTACAGTTAGTTACAGTTAGTTACAGTTAGTTACAGTTAGTTACAGTTAGTTACAGTTAGTTATAGTTAGTTACAGTTAGTTACAGTTAGTTATAGTTAGTTACAGTTAGTTACAGTTAGTTACAATTAGTTAGTTACAGTAAGTAGTAACAGTAGTTACAGTAGTTAGTTACAGTTAGTTAGTAGTTAGTTACAGTTAGTAGTACAGTTAGTTAGTAGTTAGTAGTACAGTTAGTTACAGTAGTTACAGTTAGTTACAGTTAGTTACAGTTAGTTAGTAGTTAGTTAGTAGTTAGTTACAGTAGTAGTTACAGTAGTAGTTACAGTTAGTTACAGTTAGTTATAGTTAGTAACAGTTAGTTACAGTAGTTACAGTTAGTTACAGTTAGTAACAGTAGTAGTTAGTTACAGTTAGTAACAGTAGTAACAGTTAGTAACAGTTAGTAGTTAGTAGTAACAGTAGTAGTAGTAGTACACAGTAGTAGTTAGTAGTTACAGTTAGTTAGCAGTTAGTTACAGTAGTTAGTTACAGTAGTAACAGTAGTAGCTACAGTAGTAACAGTACAGTTAGTAACAGTTAGTAACAGTTAGTTACAGTTAGTTAGTTAGTTACAGTTAGTAGCAGTTAGTTACAGTAGTAGTAGTAGTAGTTACAGTTAGTTACAGTAGTAGTTAGTAGTAGTAGTAGTTATAGTAGTAGTTACAGTTAGTTACAGTAGTTACAGTTAGTTAGTAGTTAGTTACAGTTAGTAACAGTTAGTTACAGTTAGTTACAGTTAGTTACAGTTAGTTACAGTAGTAGTTAGTCACAGTAGTTAGTTATAGTAGTTAGTAGTTAGTTAGTAGTAGTAGTTAGTTACAGTAGTTACAGTAGTAGTTAGTTATAGTAGTTAGTAGTAGTTACAGTAGTAGTTAGTTAGTAACAGTAGTTAGTAGTAGTTAGTTACAGTTAGTTAGTTATAGTTAGTTATAGTTAGTTACAGTTAGTTAGTTACAGTTAGTTAGTTATAGTTAGTTACAGTTAGTTAGTTACAGTTAGTTACAGTTAGTTATAGTTAGTTACAGTTAGTTAGTTATAGTTAGTTACAGTTAGTTAGTTACAGTTAGTTAGTTACAGTTAGTTAGTTATAGTTAGTTACAGTTAGTTAGTTATAGTTAGTTACAGTTAGTTAGTTGCAGTTAGTTACAGTTAGTTACAGTTAGTTAGTTAGTTACAGTTAGTGGCAGTTAGTTGCAGTTAGTTACAGTTAGTTACAGTTAGTTAGTTAGTTACAGTTAGTGGCAGTTAGTTGCAGTTAGTTACAGTTAGTTACAGTTAGTTACAGTTAGTAAAGGTTAGTTACAGTTAGTTACAGTTGGTTGCGTATCCTTTACAGGTCATTGCAGAACCAAGCCCAGCATTTTGTGATTTGTGTTACAGTAGCCAGTTGTTAATAACTATACTTTTACACAGGAAAAGGTCAAGTTTCCGTTGACCCACTTCGAGTCACGTTCGGTAGATGGTGCTAGCCATTTTATGCGTCAAAACACGACAAAACAAGATTATTTTACCACATTTCCAACACAACAGACAGGTTATATACTCAGCCAAGACATTCTATCTCCCACAACAGACAGGTCATATACTCAGCCAAGACATTCTATCTCCCACAACAGACATGTCATATACTCAGCTAAGACATTCTATCTCCCACAACAGACAGGTTATATACTCAGCCAAGACATTCTATCTCCCACAACAGACAGGTCATATACTCAGCCAATACGTTCTATCTCCCACAACAGACAGGTCATATATTATATACCCAGCCAAGACATTCTATCTCCCACAACAGACAGGTCATATACTCAGCCAAGACGTTCTATCTCCCACAACAGACAGGTCATATACTCAGCCAAGACGTTCTATCTCCCACAACAGACAGGTCATATACTCAGCTAAGACATTCTATCTCCCACAGTACAAACACATAAACAGTTCAGCCAGCACACATTGAGATTTTATCTCCCACAGAACAAACACATAAACAGTTCAGCCAGCACACATTGAGATTCTATCTCCCACAGAACAAACACATAAACAGTTCAGCCAGCACACATTGAGATTCTACCTCCCACAGAACAAACACATAAACAGTTCAGCTAGCACACATTAAGATTTTATCTCCCACAGAACAAACACATAAACAGTTCAGCCAGCACACATTGAGATTCTATCTCCTACAGAACAAACACATAAACAGTTCAGCCAGCACACATTGAGATTCTATCTCCCACAGAACAAACACATAAACAGTTCAGCCAGCACACATTGAGGTTCTGTCTCCCTAATTCCAGGCGAAGACAGAAAAAAGCACACCATAATCCCCCCCCCCCCTGGCCCCTTCTCTCTCTCTCTCTCTCTTTCTTTCTCTCTGCTACCTCTTGGACTTTGATCTTGAAGAAATCTTTGTTGCTCATTTGATAAGTGGCCGGGTTGTCGAAGGCGTCCCGTGGCTCGATCACCAGAGGGTATCTGGTGCATGCTGGGACCACGACTAGGGACGAATGGTTAAGAAACCCAGTCTTAGATGGGTCGATGGGTCCTGCGGAAAAACAGACGACGTTATGTGATACATAATTAAAGGCAAGGATTTTTTGACGACACAGAGGATGTGGTAGGCAATCAAACAATCAATGATTTGATAACATGACAGAGCGAAGATGTGTCAATCCAATGATGACATGATAGAGCGAAGATGTGTCAACGAAATGATTGATTGATTTATTGATTTGATTCAAAAACTGACGTCACAGCACTCGGGGCATTACCATGAGCGCTCCGTCCCCATCTTCAGCAGCCAAGGAAGAGTTCCGATACTAATGGTGCTAGTAGCATTCTGACTAAACTGCCCTGAGGCAGTACTGGTACCAAACTGCATGGTTCTGAGGTCCATGAGCCCAGTCGAAGAGCAACCCGACGTGAATACAGGACAGCTGCAACCCAATTCACTAGCCATGGACTGACCTCCTTCTCCTTCAGTGAAGTCGTCAAGATGTCGTATCTCACTCTGTTATAAGCATCCTCCAGATGCAGCTTTACAGCAACTATCTTCTCCAAGACCTGCCCAAATCTGTTTTGTAAGGTGATGATTTAAAGCCACTGAGCTTTGAATGATCTTTAAAAAGTTTTGCTAGTGGGATTAAATGGCTGTGCACCCAGTCCTGCGGTACTTTTGCTGTCTGGTTAAAACAGTCAGCCATCTCTGCCAGGTCTACATCGCTCAAAGCCTTTATGTGACCATACCTGACTCCATTATGCCCTGGTACAGTGTCTTTTGCTTTTTTCAAAATGTGTTTGCTATCTTCCACTTGTATCATGTCTTCATAATGCATATTTTTCAAGGTACAAGCTAACTCCTTTCTAACTGCATCCCTGATGTCTACATCATTATGATCTGTCTGAGCTATAAATCTATGGAGAAAAGCCTCCCCTTTCTCCTTGCCTGTTGTCAGAGGCACACCATCTTTTCTACAAATTGTTCCGACTGTCACAGGCCGATCTTTTCTTTGCATCTGCCTTTGCAGTTTCCAAAATTTCTTCAATGTTTTATCGCCCCCCCCCTCCCCAACCATTTCATTCACAGAAGTTTGCCATTCTGCTCTTTTGGCCTATCCTGCAAAGCGCTTGAAAACCTCCACCTTATCTTTTTTCACATTCTCCGCCATCTCCACTTCCTCTCGTGAGCTTGTGGGTGTATGTCGTACTTTCTTTAGCTGCTTCACTGAGGCTCTCTTTGCCTTCCTGTTCTACTTCTGGAGTCCACCATGGGGGCTGTAAAAAATTAATTCTGGCAATTCTGTTGCATGCTCCCTCTGAGGCGTCCAAGTAGGTGTTAGTCCACTTATACCGGAAGGTCTTTCGTGCTCTTCCAACCTTAACCTTGCTGAGTTTAGAAATCAGGACTGAGCATGGCAGGTGATCACTACCATGGTCATTCAGGACAGTCCACTTAAAGTCTATAACAGACGACTGGGAGACAAATTTCAAGTCAATGGCTGTGTCTGCATCTCCAGACCTCATTGCCATTCTAGTCGGCCTCCCATCATTGATGCAGACCATATCGGAGCAAGAGCAATTCCCTGTCGGTTTTCTCCACTGCTGTCCCATTTTCTGTTCCTCGCCTTGAAATCCCCACACATGAGTAACCTATCACCTGGTAACTCTTCCATTTCCTTGAGCCAGCTCCATTGTTCACTTCTGACAAAACAGTCTACCGTGGCATATATATTTATGAGGCTCCAACTTAGGCCACCAATCTCCACCTGTATCCCTTGAAACTCTCTTCAGCTGTGGTTCCATTGGATCAAGTCAAGCAACACATCCTTCCTTTACCACCAGACCTTGTCTATGTCTCTTCTGTCCAAAAGGGTTAGTATAACTGACGTACACAGGGCAATGATATCTGTCTGTATTTAGTTTATGGAGTGTTGTGTTGTGACTTTAGAAGTGGTTGACTGGGGACTAGACAAGTGGTTGTGGGGTCACTTGACAAGTGGTTGTGGGGGTGACTTTAGAAGTGGTTGTCGGGTGACTAAACAAGTGGTTGTGGGGTGACTAAACAAGTGGTTGTGGGGTGACTAGACAAGTGGTTGTGGGGTAACTAGACAAGTGGTTTTGGGGTGACTAGACAAGCGGTTTTGGGGTGACTAGACAAGTGGTTGTGGGGTGACTAGACAAGTGGTTGTGGGGTGACTAGAAAATTTCACAAAGCTTACCGCACCAGAGCGGAAAATAACATGACCCTGCCACTGTGTAAAACTGGGATGGAGGAGGTGGGGAGGGGGGGGGGGCAGGGTAAACCCACATGACTCAACTGGTAGTCACACACGCTAACAAGCGTTAGCTCTTCTATATTCAAGACAGAAGGGTCGCTGCTAGTTGACTGACTGATGAACAGCTCTCCCTGCTTTAGACTAGGTTATGTCTACAACAGTCTGGGTGGTACAGAAACAATCATTAGTGTTTGTCTGCTAAATGTGCTCAGACTTCATCCCCTACTTGCACTTACCGGGTTGAAAGTATTTGCTGACAGGGCTACCGTTGACATGGCAACCAGCAGCCAAGATGGAGACCTGGTAGTCTCCAGCTTTGTGGACCGTGAGCTTGCAGGTCACCAGGTTAAGGTCGCCTGGTGTGGCACCATCAAAGACCAGGCTTGTGGCCATTGCTGCATTGTCTTTGGCAACTAGCACCAGAATACCGCCATCCTCTGTGACGTGAAATGGAGCTCCGTGCTTGTGGAAAAGCTGGAGCGCAGGGAAAAGCAAAACAAAAGAATTGTCAATAATTTAGTTTCATTGGTGAATCTTGCAAATGAGCTACGTCAGTGTGGGGTCCGCCTCTTTTGTGTCGCTATCTTCCGTTTCTCATTGTTGTTTGCTGATTGAGGCTTTGTGTGGTCCTGTGTTTATTTGTCGTCATTATAACTTTATCAAGCTGCTGTAGACGTTAGGTTTTTTTTTTAGAACGTGTCTGTAAAAGGCAAGGCTACTGTCTTTGTCCATTGCTAATGATGAAACAGCGGCTGCTCAACAAACAGCACAACGGCAGCTGGTGAAACAGCGGCTGCTCAACAGCAGAACGGCAGAATGCGTCCACACAGTTGTTTCCTGGAATCCCAGACAACGGCAGAATGCGTCCACGCAGATGTTCCATGGGATCCCAGACAACTGCAGAAGCGTCCACACAGCTGTTCCCTGGGATCACAAACAACGAGAGAGTGTCCACACAGCTGGTCCCTGGGATCCCAGACAACGGCAGAAAGCGTCCACACAGCTGTTCCCTGGGATCCCAGACAACGGCAGAAAGCGTCCACATAGCTGGTCCCTGGGATTCCAGACAACGGCAGAAAGCGTCCACACAGCTGGTCCCTGGGATCCCAGTCAGCGGGAAAGCAACAGATCTTCTTGACGTCACGGACATATGATGCTAGTCCCATATGTTTTATAGACCAGTTGGAACTCGACGATGATGGATGACGTCGTACCGACGACCTTTACCTCCCAAGATATTCTAGGGTACCCAAACACATTTAGTTTTGACACAAAATCTGCCGTGGAGGACACACGCTAATATTTTGCCCTGACACAGACAGTTGCTGTACTTTACCGACCACTGGCCTGTGTTCTCTTTGTTCTGTTGAACACACTCCTATGGTTCCCGTCACGGCAGATGCTCTGTTTGTTCTGTTGAACACACTCCTATGGTTCCCGTCACGGCAGATGCTCTGTTTGTTCTGTTGAACACACTCCTATGGTTCCCGTCACGGCAGATGCTCTGTTTGTTCTGTTGAACACACTCCTATGGTTCCCGTCACGGCAGATGCTCTGTTTGTTCTGTTGAACACACTCCTATGGTTCCCGTCACGGCAGATGCTCTGTTTGTTCTGTTGAACACACTCCTATGGTTCCCGACACGGCAGATGCTCTGTTTGTTCTGTTGAACACACTCCTATGGTTCCCGACACAGCAGATGCTCTGTTTGTTCTGTTGAACACACTCCTATGTTCCCGTCACGGCAGCTCTTCTGTTTGTTCTGTTGAACACACTCGCGTGGTTCCCGACGCGGCAGATCCTCTGTTTGTTCTGTTGAACACACTCCTATGGTTCCCGTCACGGCAGATGCTCTGTTTGTTCTGTTGAACACACTCCTATGGTTCCCGTCACGGCAGATGCTCTGTTTGTTCTGTTGAACACACTCCTATGGTTCCCGACACGGCAGATGCTCTGTTTGTTCTGTTGAACACACTCCTATGTTCCCGTCACGGCAGCTCTTCTGTTTGTTCTGTTGAACACACTCGCGGTTCCCGACGCGGCAGATCCTCTGTTTGTTCTGTTGAACACACTCCTATGGTTCCCGTCACGGCAGATCCTCTGTTTGTTCTGTTGAACACACTCCTATGGTTCCCGTCACGGCAGATCCTCTGTTTGTTCTGTTTAACACTCTCGCGTGGTTCCCGACGCGGCAGATCTTCTGTTTGTTCTGATGAACACACTCGTATGGTTCCCGTCACGGCAGGTCTTCCCTTCGTTCTGTTGAACACACTCGCATGATTCCTGTCACGGCAGGTCTTCTGTTTGTTCTGTTCCAGTCACGGCAGGTCTTTGATGACAAAGAACTCTGGTGAGACAATTCTCTGTTACCTGCCTGGTTAAACAAGATGACTAAACTTCCTCGTTTGTCATTTGTTCACGGTAAATAAAAACTTAATTACGACTCTCTCTCTCTCTCTCTCTCTCTCTCTCTCTCTCTCTCTCTCTCTCTCTCTCTCATACACACGTTTTCCTTAACCATGTAACAGACGTGGACATCTGTATCACGTGGGCTGAATATTCCCGTGAGCACCGCTATTATGCAAAATCTAACTGGCCTGCTCGAGCTGCCGATGTGTCACGTGACCCCAAACATTCAGTTTTTCAAGCTCACAAGTTTCTCTACAAAAGTGACGGGAATCACGTGACAGGGGAGTTTTCAAACAACAATTGGGACGGAAAGTTCACAGAGTCACACAATTCCCCGAGCCTTTAATGTTGGAGGACACACACGAAGAATGTGCCCTGGAAATAATCCGAGGGGTCTCTCGAGTCCTGCTTCATTAACTTCCACAATAACATGGATAGAAATAATTACCCACACACACAAAACAGATCCAAGTGTGAGCAGCACGCATGCAACCATAGATAAATATACCCCTCATTTTCTTTATATGTTGGAGTCAGGGAGTCCTGACATGGTGTGCCTCTCTTTTCCAGGTGCCCGCTGTGCTGCAGAAATTGGCGAACATGACGCTCCACTCGTCGGTCACCGAATAATTTATATCCAACTCTGTGTTATTCTCAACTGTCCAGTTCTCTGGGTTAGCCACCCATATACAGTTATTACTCCATGTTAGCAAACGTTGCTCTTTACCCCCCCCCCCCGCCCCCCCCCCCCCCCAAAAAAAAAATTATTGCTAACCGTCAAATAATTTGTTATCTTACAAATTTTGAAATATCACGACAAAACAAAAACATATATGTACCCACTTGAAAAACAAAAGTCTATAGAACCATCTCAACCCAGCCAAGACCAAGTGAGAGACTTGTAACCTCTAATATAAACATTGCTTTAGAAAGACAGACACACTAGTGATAGACAAGATAAACCATAGCTACACAAGTAAATGACACACCATTATCAACATGTGTCTTGCCAAGTGGCGTAGGCGCTCATGAATCTCCACAAATCACGATTCCTGGTTGAATGGAACTGCTCTCTTGATGATATCTATCCATGCCATCGTTTCATCCCATCCAGCAATATCTCTCTTGGTCTGCCTCTACTTCCTTTTCCACTGGTCTTTCCAGTTGTCACGATGTTCTCCAATGTCTCTCTTCTCATTATGTGGCCAAAGAACAATGTTTGCCTCTTTCTTATTTCTGTATATAGAGATCTACTTCTATTAGTTTCGTTCGAACAATCGTTGTTAATTACTCTGGTCGTCCAGGTCCCTAAGGACATAATTTATGGTGAATCAAAGACGGGTAGAAGATGTCGAGGCCTATCTCTTCTACGCTATAAAGATGTTTGCAAGCGGGACATGAATGATGCAAGTGGACTTATGGGAACAAAATGCCATGGACCGTGTTGTGTGGAAAGGGCATATTAGGACGGGAATGAGACTGAAGGAAGAAATGATTGCAGAAAGGATGTGAGCTGAGCGTCTGAAAAGAAACGGATTAAACACAAATGTTGACAACAATGGTTCTGAAATCCCATGCTATCATTGTGGAAGACTTTTCTTGACACGGGTGGGTCCAGCTAGTCGCACTCGCCATCACCATGGGCTGTGAGTCTCATGTCTTCTCAAAGCGCAATATAACACTATCTTCTGGAAAGACGGAAAGGTGTCGATCAAGCCAATGAAACTCTGGCCGTCCAAGGTATTCGTAACATTTGTCTCAGAAACCACATCTCTGTTGCATCCAAATTCTTCTTAATTTGTTCACTGACATTCCAAGATTCGCTGCCATACAACAGAACAGGTTCTATGAAACACTTTAGCACCCTCTTTCTGACATTAAATGAGAGCGCTTTATTACATAAGATATTTTTTTATTTTCTGAAATGCTGCCTTTGCTTGACCTATTCTGCTTTTAATCTCTGTCACACATTTTCCATCTGATGATATGATTGTTCCCAGATATTTGAATTCATTGACTTGATTAAGTCTTTTTCCTTCAACTGGGATATCACAATGCGGAGTTATCTTCTTCTTTTATGTAACCATTACTTTCGTTTTCTTACTACTCAAGAGAACTCCTTTCCTAGCACTCTCCATCCCCATAATATTCAGCAGTTGTTGTTAATCTGTTGTATTTTCAGCTATCAAAACTGTATCGTCTGCATTATGCAAATTGTTTATATTGTATCCTTAAATTGTTATTCATGCTGTCTCTTTAATTTCCCTCAAAATTCCTTCACTATACAGGGAGAAAAGGTCTGGGGATAAGACACATCCCTGTCCTACTCCTTGCTTTATCTGTTTAAAAAAAAACACCAATCTGTTTCCCACTTTAATTGCTGCTATTTGGTTCCAGTAAATGTTTTTAATTATTCTGAGATCTTTCTCGTCTACATTGATGTCTTCCAATATTTTGGTCATCTCTTCATGTTTAACCTTGTCAAGTGTTTTGGTATATTTTATAAAGCAAAAATATATAAGTCCTTTTGTATGTTCATTGATCTTTCTATCCGTGTTTGCTATATGTATATTGCATTACTTGTCCCTTTACCTTCCATAAATCCATACTGCTCTTCACTCATTTCCATTCTTATTTTTCTTCTTGTTCCTCTCGGTAAAATTTAAAGCAGTAGTTTAGTGATATGATTTATTAGGTTGATTGTAGGAAATTCTTCACATTCAATTGCTCCTGGTCTTGTGGGTAACGCAATAAATACAGATTTCATCATATCACTTGGAATGTATCCAGTGTTGTTGTAAATGTCATTCAACAGTTTAGTTAATATTTCTACCCCAAATTCCCCCAGTATTTCTAATTCTTCTATTCAAATTTCATCTGGCCCAGTTGACTTTCCTTTCTGCATATGTTTAATAGCATCGTTAACTTCTTCCTTTAGTATAGACGGACCTTCTACATTTCTTTCTTTTGGTAATTCTGCTCTCTTTCCATCAATTAACTCTCTTATGTATTCATTCCATCTAATTATTATTTCATCTTCCTCCATTAGGATCTCTCCTGTTTTTGATTTCAGACATCCTGTGTTATCTTTCTCCCAGTTAGGTCGCTAATTTGTTTGTGCACACTTTTTGCATCTCTAATAGGACTGTGTTCAATTTTATTGGATTGTTCATTTAGCCAGTTTTTATTCCTACTAGTATACTATATATTATGACCATTAATTTTCACGACTAGTTTTCGAGCCTTCCTTTATTTTATCTTATTTCATGCAGTGCACATCACACTTTTCATAGTTTCTCGCGGGATCCCTTAGTGGTTAGAGTACTTCCCCCTTTGTTATTGTTGTATAGTTCATTTTATGTCGAGAAAGACCCCCACCGAAACGTTGATTTGTGCTGTGTTGTGCACGTTGTTCTGCTTCCCCATTTCGTTAAACCTTTTAGTCAAAGTTCACTGGATTACTTACGATAACCACAGCCTGTACAATAACAACTAACAGCACAAGTTACGCACTCACAGATACAGTTATGTGCCAATCCAAAACTAATGAGAACCGTTTGTGGATTTTGTGCCACCAGCATGGACTTTCACTAGAATCAATGAGAAATATCATTTGAACAAAGGTGAGATGTTTTTGTAAAGCTGTGGCGGAGTAACAACAAGAGCTAACAACAAAGATGAGATGTCTTAGAAAGGCTAGCGCAGTAACAAGAAAAGATAGCATCAACTATTAGGAATTTGGAAGAAGACTTTGACCAAAACCATCTATACAGTTTATTAAAGAACAACAGTTCAGATGGTTTGTCCATCAGACGTGAGTGCCCTGATACCAGCTGCCACAGAGAGCCAAGCTGGAGGAGACATGTAATGGACACACAGTAAGGGATACAGCAAGTAGATGAGGGAACTGCAGCATCAAAAACAGCCTTAAAGACTAATTTTATGCAGGTGTTAGGAAAAGCGCATAGAAAATCCCTGACACTCCACCTCCTCCCCCTTTTTTTTAGCCAACATCTACGAGGTTGCCGGAGGCAGAACGACAAGAAGAAGAAGAATACGTCTAACCGATGATCCTGTAGTCAAATGCCCATCCTAACCGTGCCCAACTTTTACACTGGAAACCCTGTGTTGAACGAGGCCTTGAAGTTGCTGCAGATGCAGTTTGTCCCCTCCATGATTGCAGTCCGCAGAAATAGCGCCCCAGGGATGACAAATGGCGGTATGTCTCGTTTCATCTCAAGGTTTATACAAGGGCTCCCGCCAGTTGCCAAGTCACCAAAAACCGGACCAGACGTCTGAAGTTATTGAACATGCTCTCATCCAGTTGTTACAGATACTCACCCTGACCTTGAAGGTGACGGTCTTGCCAACTGTTTCCGGTTCATTGGAGTCCCAGGTCAGAGTGCAAGAATGAGGTTTGCTGGTGCGTCCATTGAAGAACTTGTGGATGTAAGACTTGGCTCTAGGGATGGCCTGGCTACAGAAACTGGACACGGCGGTCAGGCCGGACACAGCTGACAGGCTGGCCAGAAACATTGCTCAAGTGTGTGGGGGGGGGGGGGGCGGGCAATAAGATTGTATGTGGCTGTGGTGGTTTGGGGGGTTGGGGGGGGGGGGGGGCGCCAGGCAATAAGATTGTATGTGGCTGTGGTGGTTTGGAGGGGGGGGGGGGGGGGCGCCAGGCAATAAGATTGTATGTGGCTGTGGTGGTTTGGAGGGGGGGGGGGGTGACGTCGGGTGCAGCTACTTTACGTTTCTAAAAAGAGAGAAATCACAAGTTACAAGAATATATCAACACTGCTTTAGTATTTACACATACACACACGCAAACAAACCTTTCGCTACTTCCAAACTCGTCTGTCTGCTTACTTGTCTAACTAATCACACACAGTCCTACCTACACTTTTGTCTACCCACACTCCTGTCCGACTACCCACACTCTTGTCCGACTACCGACACTGCTGTCCGACTACCTACACTTCTGTCTGACTACCCACACTCCTGTCCGACTACCCACACTCTTGTCCGACTACCGACACTTCTGTCTGACTACCTACACTTCTGTCTGACTACCCACACTCTTGTCCCACTACCGACACTTCTGTCTAACTACCTACACTTCTGCCCGAGTACCCACACTCCTGTCTGACTACCTACACTTCTGTCTGACTACCTACACTTCTGTCTGACTACCTACACTTCTGTCTGACTACCTACACTCCTGTCCGACTACCTACACTGCTGTCTGACTACTGACACCCCTGTCCGACTACCTACACTGCTGTCTGACTACTGACACTGCTGTCTGACTACCTACACTTCTGTCTGACTACCTAAACTCCTGTCTGACTACCTACACTGCTGTCTGACTTTCTAAACTCCTGTCTGACTACCTACACTCCTGTCTGACTACCTATACTGCTGTCTGACTACTGACACTTCTGTCTGACTATCTACACTTCTGTCTGACTACCCACACTTCTGTCTAACTACCTAAACTCCTGTCTTACTAACTACACTCCTGTCTGACTACTGACACTTCTGACTACCTACACTTCTGTCTGACTATCTACACTGCTGTCTGACTACCTACACTTCTGTCTGACTACCTACACTTCTGTCTGACTACCTACACTTCTGTCTAACTACCTACACTTCTGTCTAACTACCTACAATCCTGTCTGACTACCTACACTCCTGTCTGACTACCTACACTCCTGTCTGACTACCTACACTGCTGTCTGACTACTGACACTTCTGTCTGACTACCTTCACTTCTGTCTGACTACCTACACTTTTGTCTGACTACCTACACTCCTGTCTGACTACCTACACTTCTTTCTGACTACCTACAGTCCTGTCTGACTACCTACACTTCTGTCTGACTACCTACACTCCTGTCTGACTACCTACACTCCTGTCTGACTACCTACACTTCTGTCTGACTACCTACACTCCTGTCTGACTACCTACACTTCTGTCTGACTACCTACACTGCTGTCTGACTACTGACACTTCTGTCTGACTACCTTCACTTCTGTCTGACTACCTACACTTCTTTCTGACTACCTACACTCCTGTCTGACTACCTACACTCCTGTCTGACTACCCACAGTCCTGTCTGACTACCTACACTTCTGTCTAACTACCTACACTCCTGTCTGACTACCTACACTCCTGTCTGACTACCTACACTCCTGTCTGACTACCTACACTCCTGTCTGACTACCTACACTTCTGTCTGACTACCTTCACTTCTGTCTGACTACCTACACTCCTGTCTGACTACCTACACTCCTGTCTGACTACCTACACTCCTGTTTGACTACCTACACTTCTGTCTGACTACCTACACTTCTGTCTGACTATCTACACTTCTGTCTGACTACCTACACTTCTGTCTGACTACCTTCACTTCTGTCTGACTACCTACACTCCTGTCTGACTACCTACACTCCTGTCTGACTACCTACACTCCTGTCTGACTACCTACACTTCTGTCTGACTACCTACACTTCTGTCTGACTACCTTCACTTCTGTCTGACTACCTACACTTCTGTCTGACTACCTACACTCCTGTCTGACTACCCACACTCCTGTCTGACTACCTACACTCCTGTCTGACTACCTACACTTCTGTCTGACTACCTACACTTCTGTCTGACTACCTTCACTTCTGTCTGACTACCTTCACTTCTGTCTGACTACCTACACTTCTGTCTGACTACCTACACTTCTGTCTGACTACCTACACTTCTGTCTGACTACCTTCACTTCTGTCTGACTACCTTCACTTCTGTCTGACTACCTACACTTCTGTCTGACTACCTACACTCCTGTCTGACTACCTACACTCCTGTCTGACTACCTACACTTCTGTCTGACTACCTACACTTCTGTCTGACTACCTTCACTTCTGTCTGACTACCTACACTTCTGTCTGACTACCTACACTCCTGTCTGACTACCTACACTTCTGTCTGACTACCTACACTTCTGTCTGACTACCTACACTTCTGTCTGACTACCTACACTTCTGTCTGACTACCTACACTTCTGTCTGACTACCTACACTTCTGTCTGACTACCTACACTTCTGTCTGACTACCTACAATCCAGTCTGATTAACTACCTGCCCACCTCCAAACATGAGACGTCACAAATCTGCCTCAATGGAACTGAAATAGTTATATGGTTTGATTTTATTGGTTTGAACAACGGATCAACATCATGGCACAAGAGTATCCCATAACTGCTCCTTCTCACTGAAGCCTGAGTCCGAAGAATCTTAGTGCAGTGCACGAACTCGGTAGCACCGGTTAGGATCCTGAAATACTTTGGGTAGATTTTTTAACTTCAAATTTTGCCCGGGCAGCCCCGTTAGGCTACTCTTTTCGATTTCTATTTGCCAAGGGATTTGTTACGTGTGCAACAATACACACGGGGGTCTGACCTTACTACCCAAAGACCAGGGGAAATTACTAGAGGTCAACGTGACCCAGGCCTTAACCAGCACTCGAGGCGGACGCCCTACCTCGATACCACTCAGCCCCCCTCCCTTCCCCCAATAGTTATATAGAGTTATATATTTCAAGTCCTAATGTATGGAAGTGGATTGAGTACAATGAACAGATGAATTGAGGACGAGCCTAACACGGCAGAGATTTGCTGTTTATGAAATAATTATCAGAACTTCCTGACAGACGGACAGAGCAAGGAAAAGTCCGCTTTAGGAAAACTCGTTACTGGCTTTAAAAGCAGATCTACGTTATTATTGTACTAGAGGCGATCTAGTTGGAGAGAAGAGGAGAGAAAGTAAAAATCCTCCCATTTCGCTAACTTACATGGCGACAATGCATAAATTTGTATTCAATTTTTTTCAAACCCTCCCCCCCTCCCCTTTTTTTCCCCGCCACCCCCTTCCATGTATATGATTGTAGAAACATACACGCGTGTGTTCGTGTGCCTTGGTTTGCATTTTTTAAGTCTGTCAAGTGATGAGAAGTGTCCACTGTCAGACATGTGACTTCCGGACCACGGTTAGATATGTGACTTCCGGACCACGGTTAGTCATGTGACTTGCGGACCACTGTTAGACATGAGACTTCCGGACCACTGTTAGACATGTGACTTCCGGACCACTGTTAGACATGTGACTTCCAGACCACGGTTAGACATGTGACTTCCGGACCACTGTTGCTATCTGATGTATAAAACCTCTCAGACACTCAGCAACTATCCTCTCTGTAACTGTTGAATCCTTTATCCAGAATCTCTTCCTGATCTTTCCCTCCCCGTGCAGTAAGATCCATGACATCGTGTTTTCACGAATCCACATAAATATCCGTTTCATTCATGTCCCGCTTAAACACATCTTCATAGCGAGGTATGAACCAACCTCGACATCTTATACCTTTCTGTTATTTACCATACAGGATGCCATTAGAGACATAACCATTCCCGTCCTCAGAATGTGTCTTAGCCATTTGAGACGTGGAAGACTGAGCATTGAGAACACGGCTATGATAGCTGCTCTGACCTATACCTCGGTGATTGAGATCTTGTGTTGCTATTCCATACAAGTATTCATTCCTGGGCCCCTATTCATTCCTAAAACAAAGTTTTAGCAATCACCAGGAGAAATGCTTTTCCTACCAAACGTAACTCCACCAATGATGGACCTAAATTGATCTTGACTTTTCACCCTAACAATGGGGTTGCTTCCAAGGTATTCTTTCGTCATTTGGACATCCTCCGCTCTGATCCGGACACCAAGATTATCTTTAGTGAGAAACCTAGATTAGTTTACAGACGAGATCGCAACCTTAAAGACATACTTGTCCGAAGCCGACTCCCACCGATCCACACAGCACTTCCTTTTGGGACTACTTAGTGCTCACGTAGCACCTGCAAGACATGTCCTTTCGTTGTCCAGACTTCTTCGGTCAGTTTTCCTAATGGTTCTTTTCAAATTAGGGAACCTTTTACTTGCGAATCCCGCAACGTAATTTATACAATTATCTGCAAACGATGCAGCAAGGCATACATTGGGGAGACTGGCAGGAAGCTAGCTGATCGTTTCCGGGAACACCTCTCCGATATCGACAAGAAGACACTCAAACCATTCCCTCTTCATTTTGAAAGCCCTGACCACAGCGGTAAAGATGACATATCTGTCACAGCATTAAAACCTTGCTCTGGCTATCATACTACCCGCCTCGCTTTGGAAAATCGCCTTATCCACAGCCTTGGCGTTCTTAGTCCAAGAGGTATCAATATCCAACATACCTTCATCTAAATAGTTCTAATCTTATCACATTTGAAATGTTAATTATTTTATTTTATTTCATATTATTACCTTATTCTATTTCTTATCAGTATCATTTATGTATCATTAACACTTGCATTTCTTTTATTCCCAGTATTGTGACTATATTTTTTAGCCATCGTTTATTTTATTTTATTTCATTTATTCCGCATCACATTGTTTTAAACGTCGCTCACGTCACCCCTTAGAGATCTACATACTCTCCATTCCTCGTTTGTGTCTTTCACTTGTGTTTGAAAAAGGCTGCCCGGCCGAAACGTTACGTTGTGTTGTTTTGTGCACGTTTTCCTCTTTCCCATTTTGTTGAGCTTTTAAGTCAAATTTCTCTGGAATTCCTAGGCCCCGCAGATAAAAGCTATTTAGCCGTTGATTCTAGTCTGAACCAGTGGAGAAAGTTTAACTAGAGCTACAGACGAACGCCGACAACAACATCTGTATCTGTGAACGAACAAATCAGTGCCGCAGTTAGGTATTAGCTGAATAATCGACCTCTCAGGGCCTCACAGTCTGCAGGTGCTTCAACTGCCCATTTTCTCCACAAGTGTCAGTCTATAGTTGTAACTATTTTAAATGCAATATTCTCCAAACATATCTATATATATAAAAATCAATGTTTGTGTGTTTGTTTGCCCCCTATAGACTCGGAAACTACTGAACCGATTTAGCTGAAATTTTCAGGATATGTTTGTTTTGATACCGGATGTTGAACCATCATGGTTTTAAATTCAACTTGTCACAGTTAGTGTCAGGTGACCACAATTTAAGCCATAATATTCGAAACTAATATTTATAATTTTAGTGATTTCTAATTATAGCCACGTTAGTAATTGCACATGCGCCGTGCAGCCAACACCTCCTCTAATACATAGAGTAGGTCGTGGTACAGCAAACAAGACTATATCTATATCTGTGCAGGCAATAATTGCCAAAATAACTATGTTAGACACGATTTCTATTTTCTGGTTTTTTTTTCAAACATCCTTCGATGAGTTGATATGTAGCCGATGAATTGGTAGTGAAAAAGAGGGGGGGGGGCATCAGGGACTATCTCGACGTCTGCGCAGACATTGACTGCGACATTAACCGTGTTAGACACGTTCGATTTCTTTTGTTGTGCCCTTTCATTATTATATTTGGAATATCTGTCTATGAGAAAACAATTGCCTGCTGTTTTGAGTTGTGTTATAATCGGGACACTGCAGTAGGGACACACATCTAAAACAGTTATGTTCTCTTTTCGTTATTCCGATCGAGTGGTTGCTTGGTCGAATGGTTAGAACACTCGGCTCTTGAGAGGGAGACCAGGGTTTGAATCCGCAGTAGTTTTTTTTTACTTAGGGCTAAAATAAAATCCTCACCTGCACTGTCGTGGCGACAGCACTAGCCATATGGCCCTAATGATATATATTTAAAAAGAAAAAAAAAAAAAAAAAAAACAAGGACAGGTTTGTGGGTAAACCAGTTGATAGTTAAATTTGACCATTTCACATACTTATGATTTCATTTTAAACTTTTCGATTGCATGGTTACGCTGAAATTTCATAGCTTTCCATTTATTTTCATTTAGATTTAATTATTTCATCTACGTTGGAATTTTAAGCTGTGCTGTTTACCATAGCGTTCATTTCCTAATTCTGGTGTATTTTTCCTGTTTTAATTGCTTTTCAATTGTTTTTTTTTCCCCCCTCTCAACTACTTCGATGAGGGAAAGAGTAGTCGGTGAATTTAGGGGGGGGGGGGGGGGAGGCAAAACTGATTACTGAGAGAGCTTTAAGTCACAATAACTGCTTTACCCACTCAAAGTAGCAGCAGCATTAGTAGTTGTGGTTGGGCGGTTACACCGTAGTGCTCTCATGTGAAGACCGCCGGTAAGGTTATGGCATTCTTCTGTCGTGGAGCGAAATCATACATCCTTACCTGACCAGTCCGTGGCGACAGCACTAGCCATGCGGCGCCAAATCTTCTGGCTCACGACTCCATGTCTACTCCGATGGTAAAACAGATAGCAGTGACATTATTTTAGCTACTGTGGTGGTGGTCGTGGTAGTAGATGTACTGGCACTTGAAGGATGATGCGGTAAATATTACATTAGCCCCATTCACTACCTATTACAATTCCTGCTCCCAATTTAGTCCGGATGGACAGGGATGTCAATGTCAGTTACAACAAAAAGAATATCGCCAGGTGATGATTTTTCAATCATTCGAAGAGGGAGAGAGCAGTAGTCGGTGGAAGAGGGGAGGGGAGAGGGTAATGACTGAAATTTAAGAGAACTTGAAGAGCTTTACACATGATTTTTAAGTTCTCATTACTTACTTAAATTGTTTATATTTTACTACCGCTACCTTCACTATTCTAATTTTTGTACGACTTACTTTGTTATTTACAAGTACAGTAGTAGCTTTACTTACGTCTCCTATAAAAAATACAAACAGCTTTAGCATATGATACCAAATAACCACTTTTG